GGCGTTTTAACGGCTACGTGAAGGGGGCTGGCTGCATACCAGGAGTTCTGGAAACTCATCACACACTGCTGTTTCTGTATTCTACTTCAAGCGGACTATTCCCCCCATATCATATCCAGTGCACATTCTATCGTCATAATGCATTGATGCTGTTCTTTTCTTCTTAATCTTCATCCTAGCTTAGTACAGTAACTACATAAGGCCAATGCACTAAACTGAAGGCATGAATCATCGTTCATCATTCATTGACATCAATAACTACCATTCGACAACATGATGCATTCGCTTTTCCATCTCACGTTCCTCCCCTCCCCCCCGTATGTAAAAGTTAGGCTGAAATAGAGAAATAGACCGTCTAATCGACCGCCACCTGAAACCACAGATAGCTAGCTAGAGTAGTACGAAAGACATACTTCCTTCCATTCAAGCCTAAGCATAAACCTAAGCCTCCGCCTCCAAGGTCTTAAGCTGGGCACCATACGTCTTCCGAATCAACTCCATATAAGCCTTCCATTTGTGATGATCACCCGCCACCTCGGCATTCGGGAACGCCTTGCTCAGTTCGCGACTGATCTTCAGTACGCCCAATGATGCCTCCTGCGCTTTCTCGAGTTCTTGCTTCACGGCGTTTTCCTTCGGTTTGAAGGAGAGGATGGCGTTGTAGCGTTCTGAGAGCGCGTCGAGATGGCGCTGCGTCTCTTCAGGGGCGAGATGGATCAGCTTGGAGGTCATTAGGTTGCAGATTGTGCGGATGTCTTGTTCGTCGTCGATGCCGGAGAGGATGCGGTCGAAGAATTCGCTCATGTGGCTGAGGGAGAATGCCGAGTCGAGGGAGGCGTAGAGGGTTTCGTAGGCGCTCTGGAGGTGGGGTTAGTCTTTGATTGTGTGTGTGGGGAGGAAGAAGGGGGTTGGGTGTACTGACCTTGCGGAGCTCGAGACCGTCGTCGACGCGGTGCTTGAATGGACCCATTTGCACTTCGCGGATGAGTTCTGGCTTTACCTTGGTGTCGCCGAAAACGGCCGGGAGGAGTTCGTTGAGGTGAGGGAGAAGGATTTCCATCTTGTTGTGGATGGCTGAGTTCAAGGTCGTCAGGGCAAGACGGTGATTGCCAAGATCGCGGTCGCTCAGCATGTTGACCAGCAGAGGTACGATCACGGGCCTCAGCACATCGTTGTACGTGTCTCTGGGATCCGAGAGGGTGTAGCGGAATGCGGAGATGACGACGCTGCGGATACTCGGGTCACTGCTGGAGAGATAATCCTACATTGTGTTAGCTGCACATGTTGCGACTATTGACATACTGCTGGCGGTTGGACTCACCTGGAAATGAGGAATGTAAGCGACTGGATCGATCAGGGCGAGCCGGCCGACACATTCGGCACCAACGGCTCGGTTGTCTTCCTCCTCTGACACGACCAGAAGGGCTTGCCAGAGTTTGACGGCCGATGGGGCTACATCCGGCCGAACAATCTCGGGGTGCTGGAGCAGTTCCCTTACGGAGTGGAGGAGCAGGTAACTCTGCGGGTTGCCCTTCTCAAGCCCTCCCAGGATGATAGGCAAGTAAGATTTGACGTTGCCTGCTGCTGCGTTACCCAGAGCTGTGGCTGCAGCCAGTCGGACCTTGTCGGACTTGGAGTTGAAATGGGTGATGAAGAGTTCAGGGGTCAGCGAACAGCTGGAGCCCATTCGTAGGCCGATCTCTCCCAAGATCGCGAGCGCAAGGCATTTACGTTGAGCATCCTGCGCAGTCTCCAGCTCCGTCATGAAATCTTCCATCTTGACACCCAGCTTAGGACCACCGTGTACCAAGAGAGTTCCAATCGCTCTACCGACAACTGACGTGTCGCCGCTGATGCCAACATCCTGAAGAAGCTTCTTCATCAATGCTGCACCAGCTCCCTCTTCTCCAATGACCTTGACTAATAGGAGCAGGGCTTTCAGTACCGTTCCAACGAGTGACGAGAGAACAACAGAACACAGCGCAGAGATCAAGCTCTCGTTTACAAGAAGCTGAGCATTGCCTGGAACCAGCTTGGCCAGGATGATAAGTGACGGTGCGAGAAAATGGAAATCTTCTGCGCTGATGAGCGGTAGAAGACTATCTTCAAGCTCTTTCATGGTCTTATCATCGTAATGAGTTCTGGTGTTGGAGTTCATAGCCAGGCTGCGAAGAGCCTCCAAGCTGGCACCTCGAAGGACCCGGTCTGACTTGCGCAGCTGTGCGCCGAGCTCTGCAGTGACTTCACTAACCCAGGTTGGTGCGACATCCACCTCACGAGTGCAAAGGACGGCTACATCGTCAACGGCGCGGACAGCTGCGAGCCGCGTGGTCTCGTTCTTCAGTCGCTCCACCAAGACAGAAAGCCCTTTGGAGCGTTGATCGAGCGGAAGGAAAGAAGAACCTTTCTCCCCAGCTGTCCGAGCCAACAGCACGCCGAACACGTGGATAGCTCTCTGGCGAACTTCGAGGTCGGCACTCGTATCAGTGATGCGGGTATGCACGACGTCATACAGTCTCCCTAGGTGCGATGCAAGGTCCTGAGAGGCGTTGGGGACCCGCGGCGGCGTAAGCGCCTTCACGATTTGTTCGACGGCTCCCAACGCTTCGCTGCTGACCTTGTAGTTTCTGTCATTGACAGCCCCAATGACACCGGGAATCAACGCGATAAGGAAGGGCAACAGTGCATCAGACGTATGCGTTTCAGCAATCGCGGCAATGAGTCCCAGGGTTTCGGTCTGGAGGGTGCCTGCACTCGCCGAAGACCCGACGGGTGCAGATGAACCGCCTGAGAGAGAAGAGGACTTCAAGACATCCGCTATGGGGTCTTCAAGCTGTTGGAGATGATCTGCAAGACCACCGTAGCGAACGAGTGCAAGGCTCTTGAGCAGCACGATAATAGCCTGCTTCAGAGGTACAGAAGCTTGCTTCCACATCTTGACCACACTCTGCACGATGATCGGCACTGAGCGAGCCAGCTCCGCCTGTGGACCAGATTTGGGCGAGGAAGGAGCAACAACGGGGGTGCTGACAGCAGAGGAGGTGCCAATGCTGGGCTCGAAGTCGATCATACTAGCATCACTATCCTGGCGTCTCCTCTTCCGTGAATTCTTCGAACCCCCGACCGACTCAAGGAACCCGTTGGATGTAATTATCATGGCGCCTTCGCCTGTTTTCCGAACGAGTGCAGTCATTGTAGACACGACTTCGAGCTTGACACTTTCTTCCCTTTCTTTGTTAAACCGGGCGATAAGAGCGGGGGAGATTTGCTGAAACAAGGACGCATCGTCTGCAGTTCGGCCGCGGGTGTAACTCGAAATGACGGAATAGAGCAATTTCGCTGCACAACGGCGGACCTTCCAGCTCATATCATCAATATCACTGTAGCCTCCTTCTTCTTCGAAATCCTCGAACTCGTCGTCGTCGTCGTCCAGATCGGGCTCCTCCGTTACGTCATCTTCAGAGCCATCATCCTGAGTGCCGCCCATTTCTTCATCGTCTTCGGCTTCGGCAACGTTGGGATCGTATTTGAGAAATCGCAGGGCTGAGTTAATGGTGTTGGACATGTATGGCTGCATCTGAGAGTTGCAAGAGCTGATCAACGTCTCCAGGGTGACCAGGGCGGTTTCTCGGAGTTCATCCGCCTGAGGATCATGCTCGTCATCGTAAGACGACATTGTGTCGAAGGGGTAAGGAGTTCGCAGTAAATTAAATGCAACCAAAGCGCAAGCCAAGAAGCAGTAGCAACAGCAACAACAATAGCAGCAGAGGATGCTTTGGGGGATAATCGAGCGAGCTCCAACATCAACAGCCGCAGCTCTTTGGAAGCTCCGATAGCGTGACCCCGCGCTAGGCCCAATCCATCTCGGAGGAAACTGCCGAGACTCCGGTCTTGGCACTCCAAGGCAGTGAAAGCAAAAGCAGCAGGGAATTAGATTTTTGGCAGGTCGCCTTCACTACTGAAGGAAGTCAAAGAGATCAAGTGAGGATGAATTGCTGCGGGATTGTTGCTTGGATGCCATCAAGGCCTGCAGTCCACCTTGTTTGCGAGCCTTGGCCCGCTTTTTGCTGTTGGCATTGTCGGCCGCTTTATTCACCCGGCTGGAATCCGCTGATTCGGTGGCCGGTTCGGACTGGGGCGTTGTAGTTGCAGATGATTGAATGTCAGGTGTAGATGTCGCTGTAGAAGTAACTTTTGGTGGTAGTGCAGGACGAGCTGCATCCTTGCGAACTGGCTTGATGGTCCGTCGCCGGCAACGGAGACATTTTAAGATTGTAGCTCCATCAGAGCTTGCCTTGCTCGCTCTGCTTGCGTTCGACTGTTTGCCTTTTTTCTTCTGGATGACGATATTCTTGGTCCACTGCGGGCTCCTGACACTGCCACATGCACCGCACGATGTCTCTTGGAGCCGCTGGTTTAATGGCTTGAATTCATCACGGAGAATGCCGTTGTGAACGGTCATCAAGTAGGCCGCTGTTGATGGACTGAGAGCATTGAGAGCGCTGGCGGAGCCCTTGAGGAACTCCAACCGGGGCGCATGATCACTAAGGGGCATGTTTTAGTGATAACAATCTCCAAGTATCTAGATCGGTTGTGAATATATAAGAAGACCGAACCTGCTCAAAACCTGGCGGGAGAGCATGAAAATGAATTGATGCCGAGAAGAGAAAAAAAAAGGGCTGTTCGGCAGCAAAGCAACCAAACACTCTCCCGCCGCACGATCAACTCACATCTTCCCGGTGTTACTCTGCTTCTACTTTTCATCTTTCTCTTCTCCCCCCAGTTCCTCTCTTCTCATTTCTTCACCTCTAGCAATCTTCTATTCTCTCTCTCCGAATCAAATATTCTGCGTCCAGTAATCCTCACTTTTGCATAAGAGGTCTCCTACGTTGTTCCTTATCATCCTTGGCATCTTCTGCGTCTCAAACTTTGCGAGCAACTCATACTTCGTCGCCGGATCGCTCCCTATCAGCTCGGTTTTCGCGGCATTTTCCAGAATCATGGAGATGCCAACTTCAGACTCGGCCTCGCTTCGAGTCGCGTTTGAAGGATGTGTAAGTCAAATTCTCATCTTCTACCCTGTATTTTTTATCTTGCTGACCACCGATACGTCTCCAGGGCCACGGATGTCTTCATGATATCTATGCGTCAGTCGATAAGGCTGCCTCCCTAAAAGGGTGGGATGGTGTCGATTTATTGATCATTGGCGGCGATTTCCAGGTAAGACTGTTTTTGCCCCTGTCAACTCGCCTGTTTCTCCTGCTAACCTCAAACTAGGCTGTCAGAAATGCCAATGATCTGGCCTGCATGTCAGTGCCGATGAAGTACAGAGAGTTGGGTGACTTTCATGAATACTACAGTGGGCAGCGTGTTGCTCCATACCTGACCATTTTTGTGGGAGGGAACCACGAGGCGAGCAATCACCTGTTTGAGCTGTATTACGGCGGGTGGGTAGCCCCCAATATCTACTACCTCGGTGCAGCCAACGTTATCCGGTGTGGGCCCCTTCGCATCGCCGGCATGTCTGGTATCTGGAAGGGATACGACTACCGGAGACCCCATTTTGAACGACTGCCGTACAACAGCGATGACGTTCAAAGCATCTACCACGTGAGGGAACTCGATGTTCGCAAGTTGCTGCAAATCCGCACACAAGTAGATCTGGGATTATCCCACGACTGGCCTAAGACGGTCGAGCGTAGCGGAGACTTTGAAACCTTATTCAATAAAAAGAATGGGTTCCGCGAGGATTCTCAAAACGGTCGACTTGGTAGTATGGCTGCCAAGCATGTTCTTGATCGGCTGCGCCCAGCCTATTGGTTTTCGGCCCACTTACACGTGAAGTTCGCGGCCCGAGTGCAGCACGCTCAATATGTTGTTCCAGAGCATCCAGCGGCCAAGAGACAGGCTGCTGCCGGTGCAACTGATGCTGGTCAGCGTTCAAGCGCTCCATTTGCGCTGGATGGTGCGGTATTCACTTCGTTGGTCCTCGGTGAAGAGAACCAGAACCCATTGAATGAACCTGTGGCCTCCGCTTCTACTGCCAACTCTGCTAAGCAGAGTCAGAGCAACACTGTAAGCACCGGAGATTCTCAGCTGCAGTCGGAGAGTGGACAACCTGCTCATCAGCCATCCAAAACCGACGTATCGGCCGGAGAAGCAGCTAGCACCATGGAGACTAAATTGTCAGCGTGGAACAACTTCCACGTCGTTGCTGCCCGGAATGAAGCGGCTGAGAACGAGCTTTATTTGTCGGGCAAGGCACAGAATCCTGGGCCGAACCCCTATGAACTTAAGCACAACCTGACCTGGAAAAGGGTGGAGACCGATATGGACGGCGTAAATCGGAAAATTGCAAGCGTCGAGAGGGATGTCAGTCCCGAACAGCAGAATCCCAAGAAACAGAAGGTTGATCATGGCTCGGATGTTGTGAAGAATAGTGATGAGATCGACTTGGATCTAGACAGCGAGTCCGACGAAGCCTCAAGTAAGGCACAGCCTGAAACGGTAGTTTCAGGAAATAGTGGCTCTCCCGCAATGACGTCCACTCCGACTCAGTTGGAACGAAACAATATCACGCCTCAAGCAGAACCAGCCAAAGCGGCTGATGTCTCACAGGATGTCCGGAACCAGCTGCCTGCCAGTTTTTCACGCCCCCAGCCTGATCCCTATCCGGTCAATGGCCCTTTGCCGGAAGCCATTGCAAACAACGTGACCAATTTTCTTGCGTTGGACAAATGTCTTCCAAACCGCGAGTTTCTCCAGCTCTTGGAGATAAACCCTATCTCTGACCCGGATGGAGCGAAGGTCGAACGCCCATATCGCTTGGAATACGACAAAGAATGGCTCGCAATTACACGTGCGTTCGCCAACGACCTCCACCTTGGGGATCCCAACGCCAGACCCTCTGCGGATAAGGGCGACGTCGTGTACCTTCCCCAGATCCTCGAAGAAGAGAAGTGGGTCGAGGAGAATGTCGTGAAGCCTGGAAAGCTTGTCGTCCCTGAGAACTTCACTCAAACTGCGCCCATCTACGATCCCAGTGTACCTCTGACAACTGAGGAGATGCCGATCGAGTACACCAATCCTCAGACCGCGGAGTTCTGCGATTTGATCGGCATCGAAAACAAATTCGACATGAGCGACGCGGAACGCCAAGCTAGAATGGCCAGAGGGCCCCGTCCTAGTAGTAACAGAGGTGGTATGGGCCGTGGTCCTCGTCGAGGAGGCTTTGGCTTTGGACGGGGTCGCGGACGTGGAGGTCGCGGACGCGGCAACCGTTACTGATTCTACAATTCTCCATGTTGCACTTCGCTGATCAAAGGCTGGCTCCATCTGTGACACGGTTGCTCTTCAGCTGAGGTGCGGTATTGCTCACAGCGAAAAGAACGCACAGCGGATGAGGAAGTGCTGGGCACTTGCCTCTTCTCATATTTCTCTCATCGAATCGGCTATTCCACGATGCTATCTATCGAATTTGTCTTTATTTCATTTCTCACTGCAAACTACACTTCTAATCTTTTCTATCTGACACTCTAATCGAAATGGAGACCAACTCTACCCATCTCATTGATGTCTCTCACAGAGAATGGTTCCTTGAATGTCGACCTTCAATTTCTGTCATCTATGCCTGAAATTACGGTAACCCCCGAGTTACTCAGTACATTTGACGCGTTCACGAAATAGCTAGTTTCCTACTGGATCACAGTACAGATAATGGAAATGAAAAACCAAAGCATGAAGCATAACCTTCGCGCAGTAGTAGACAGTAAAGTAAAGACTGAATAAACCGTAACTAAACTCAGTAACCACCATCCCAACTAAGTAACCATGACCACTACTCAATCTCCTCAATCCTCGGCCTCATACCCTCATCCCTACCAGCAAGAGGACTAACTCTCAACCCAGCAATCCGATCCCCCAATTCCAACCTCGGCTCCTCATCCTCCCCTCTCGCCCCAATTCCCCACAACAGCGACTTCTCCAACCAAGCCTCCAAACTCTCGACCAACACCCTTACATGACCCCTCACAATCGAATCCGTCTCCCGACTCTCCACGAACCTTAGCGAAGACAACATATGCGGAATATTCCCCACTGTCGCTGCTCCCCCCTCTGTTCCACCAGACTTCGCATCTGAAAGTGAGAACCCGAAGCCCAGCGCCTGACTACCGCGATTCTCGCGAACGGTATCCATAGCTTTGAGAATATCAAGAAGGAGAATAGCGCTCGCGCGTCGCAGGATAGCGGACTCGACCTCCGGTTCTAGTGTCAGCGTCGCGAGCGCTAATTCCACGGCGGAGGAGATGACCGAGGGTCCGAGGCCGAGGATATTCGTTTGAATGGCGCTAGCTAGAATGGATAATGCGGATGCGCGGACGCGGAGATCCTCTGGTTCGGAGTCTGATACTGCGCCTGCTGCCCAGGCGGAGATGATGTTAGCGGAGTGGGCGGCTTGCTCTTCGTCTTCTTCGGAATCCGAGGCGTCGACTTCCTTCTGAATTTGGTCTGATAGTTCTTGGATTTTGGATGTAGATGTGGAGATGCTCCATCCTGGAGGCATGGATGATTCTTTCTTCTGGCGGGCTTCTTCGCGTTCTGCTTTCCGTTTCTCTCTCTCGAGTTGCTGTCTGCGTGTCTTTTGGGCTTGGGGTTTCTGGGCGCGTCGGCCGGCGACGGCAATCATGCCTTCGGCGAGGAGTTTGGCTGTTTCGCCTGTTAGGGCGTCGTTGAGGTCCTGGACGGTGCGGAGGAGGGATTCGCCGATTTTGAGTCTTTGGTCGAGTGTGTGGGTTTCGGTTTTGTCGATGTAGCGGTCTACCAGGGTTTTGATCACGGTGCGTGGGTGTCGGGATGCGAGGGTGCCGATAAGTTTGATGGCGTTTAGGTAGATGAATTCGTCGGTGGTGTGGGTTTCGGAGGTGTCGGTTATGATGGAGAGAAGGAGGGTCAGGGTGGAGGGGATGTCGAGGACGGGGGAGGCTTTGGTGATGAGGTTTGAAAGGAGGGAGAAGCCTTCGGCTTGGATGGGGGCGAGGTCGGAGTTTAGGTTGGATAGTGCGCGACGGTGGGTTTCGAAGTCGGCTATTTCGGTGGTTGGTTTGTTCGTCGTGAGGGTCTCGCCTTCGGGGTTGGCGAGGTGGATTTCGATGAGCATTGATGATGTGGTTGCTGGTTTGGAGAGATCGGATGGGAGATGGGGCGTTAGATCGTCGAGCTTTGACTTGATGGCTTCGAGCACTGGGAGGGTCTCAGGTGAGATGGTGAAATCGGGCGAGGCGAGGACAGTAGATAGAAGGCTGAATACGGCTGGTAGTGATTCGGCTGAGTCTGTCTCTGCTGCTGCTTCTTCCTTTCCGGTGTCGTCTGGCTCGACGATGTTGGCCAGTGACGATAGGGATACCTTGCCTGACCGTGTTCCCATTGTCTTCTTGCTCCGCACGTATGCTCTGTTCAGTTCACTGTCGATTATCTGCTTGATGAGTTCGAGCACGCGTAGAGGTCGACGGGAAAGGACGTCTTTGAAATTGTCGAGTAGCGTTTCCGCTACCTTGGCACTGATCAACTGCTGCATGATGATCTTGAAGTTGTCTTCCTCCGGGGATAGTCGCAATCTATCCATCGAACGCTCATCCAAGGTAGGTTTTACCAGCCAGCTTTCACTGACGTAGAGGAAGATATCAGCTGTCCGCTCTTCGCTACTGGGGTCTGCGCCCAATAAGCTGACGAAGAGTTTCGTGCGAGACTGCAATATGTCGACGAGGCGGACAATGTTGCGATTCGTTTCTGACGTGTTGCGCTTCCGCAGTAAGACTTTGTTCTTCGAGTCTGAATCATAAGTCCACGTTGCCCCGCCATCATAGAGTAGGTTGTCGACGAGTTTCTGTAAAGGTTGAAGTCCAACTGATATTCCGAAATATGTCTGTAGGATAGTTAGGATTTTCTCATGCAGTGCCATATTTTGATGTTCCATTGTATAGCAAGCTAGGCCCCAGAGTGGAACTAGAATGGGGTGGACGACGCGCTTCACGAGACCCGGATTCGGAGGTTGGAGGACTAAGGTTCGCAATCTGTCGACTGCTAATACTATCGTCGGCTCGGCTACTTGAATCTGCTCGGATGATCCACGGTCAAACTCATCAGCGGCAGCTATCCATTTCTTTGAGGAAGCATCAAGCCCCGCAGTAAGCGCTTTAAAGATAGGCTCCAAGAATATGGAGTGCCCGACGGTACCAGGAGCGCCGTAGGCTCTTTTACCCAAGATACCGTTTCCAATAACGTATGCTGCTGTCTTCATGAGATCGGGGTCATCCCCGTCAAGCAACTCCAGTAGCTGCGGTGCTATTGTGGAAAAGTACTTGACCGGGTCCATTCCTTCTGGAACTGAAGACAGCAGGCGGGACGTTTGCATTATACCCTGCACTGTGAAAATTGGGCCATTCGATGCCTGGGCCTGAGCTTCGGCTCCCAGAGACGGGGCAAACTGAGAAGCCAGAAAGACCATAGTTTGAAGTACACCACCGGGGCGTAGTGGAATTCGTGACAGCTCGCTAGAGACCAGAGCTTTGAACCACGGAGCAGGATCTGACTGCAGGAAACTGGACAATGTAGGTAGCAACACAGGGCTGGGAGTTCTGCAGCAAGTCAGTAGCTGTGGCTGGGACGTTTATAAGAAACATACTCCTCAATCAGCCTTCTCACCTCCTGACGGTAGATAGCCTTCTTATCGTCGGAGAGGCTCTTTGAGTTATAAGCCAGGTCTGCAGCCGCACTGATCATGTCGCTAAGGATTCGGCCACGGATGACATCCTGAACGCTCATTTTTGTATCGAATATGATGTTCGAAAGAGTGACCCATATCCTTTCGAGGAGATATTCGTCTTCGGGACTCTCCTGAGCATGATGTTGTTGTTGGGCAATAACTCCCGCAGGCAGAGCCGAGAAGACCCTCTGGTGCAGAGGTAGGCCAAGACCTCTCGAAAGTGACGGGTAGATGCCTTCCACAGCAATCAGATCCAATAGAGCGAGAAGTAGCCTGCGCCTTTTTGCATCTTCAAGGGCGACGTCTTCGGTTTCCTGGCCGGTCTGGCTGGGCTGATCGCCAGCACTGGAGGGAGTGATGAAAGCAGTATGGATGAGAGACAGTAGGCTCAAAGCTTTGAAGATAACATCCATCCTCACAGACCCAGTATTCTTCTCATCGTCACGGAGTGTCTCGTTCAGAATCTCTACTAGAGACTGCCCCCGCAACTTTTGGCTCTGAACGCTATCTAAATTCTCGGTTAGCTTTGACATTCAGACGGCTCTGGGATCGAGCAGTGCATACCTCGTTGAAGAACAGATTCGAGAAACACGCTCACGGCAGCAAATGCCTCTTTTACCCGTACTGATTCACTCATCCTTCGATCATGGAGAGCTCTCTTTTACCCCAATACTCGCATTTACAATTCTACGCCTATTTCCTTCGAGTCCAGAGAATGGATTAGAAGTGATTACCTAATCACATTATGCCTGCGAGTTGCGTATCACATGATTTGTGGCTAGTTCGAATGTGGTCTAGCGCGTAATGGGCCGGGCGGCAACTTCGATTTTGCTGCTACTTTGGGTAGTATACTTTTGTTACTACACGAACATCCAATATATGAAACACTCCAATACCTACATCTGTTCGCTCACTAATAATCAATCTAATCTTGCACGATGCTAAGTCAAATACGTTCAAGTCAGAAAGTTATTTTCCAAGGTATGATGCCAACTCAAGCAGGTTTCTTGGTTTAAACTAGCAAATATACTATAAGTAGCCGTCATATAGCCGTCTAGCAAAGGTGGTTCTCACACACTACGTATTTGAATACTATATCAGCTTCATGTCTCCTTTCTACTCCTCTGGTTTGTCAAGAACTAGCAGTGGGTCCAATTTTAGCTATAAGCTAGCATATTTGAAGTGGAACTGTCAAGGTAAGGCTAGTCGTTCGGCTCCATTGCCCTGAAATGTGGAATCGGAGAGTCACCGTCAAAGAGTATATTCGGGAAACAAGACAGTAGCTGAACGTAGGCGGCAAGCTCAGACCATCCGGGAGCTTGATTGGCACCTTTACTGAGGTACTATAGATTATCCCTGATGCGATGCTGGTCGTGGATGAATCCAGATCCTCGGTAAAATGGCACTTTTCCCACTCCAACGGGCTCGGGGTCGAAGTCCCTAGAGATACTGTTTGCACATGAGAGTGACGATAAGGATCCCATGCTGAAGAACCTATAGCTGCTGGAAGATGTATCTCTGATTTTTCTCCGAAAGTGGTGATGGCATTTAATGAGACACACATTGATGATAACTGTGGCAGATGTGGTCCAGATATTGCTTGGAACTGTAAGTCGACTGGTAAGTATCTGACCATGGCTTTTGCTTGTTGAATAGCGGCTGGCTGCGCCGTCCGCGCCAACAGCGCTCCAATCCGAGAGAAAGATATCGGTGACTTGGATACGAATTTCTCTTTACTAAGGCAGTAATGCTTGCTGTCTTCTGGAACCAGCAAGGGTGCCTCTTCTATGCGCGGCGAACCAATAAACAATGGAAATGCCCATTCAGCTACTGCTGGCATCCCGTCTCGGTTGATACCCCGTGTCAAGCTGAGCTTTATGTTGTATTCGACCGATATCTCGCTGGGAGTCATGCCGTCTTGCCCTATGCTCGGAGGAAGGAGTGAATGCTCTTCCTGGACCTGCTGATGGTGACAAAATTGCTGGCACACCGAACCTCTTATCCTTGGAGGAACCGTGAATCCGAATGGTATCTCGTGTCTCAAGCCTCCTTGCAGTAGTCCCGAGTCTGTTGATGATTTAAGCATGAGCGGCTGTTCTATGCGAAGAAAAGTTTGGCATGCTGTGTACGGTGGAAGTGGCACCGCGTTTTCGGTCCTGTCAATCTGTATTTTGACTTTGCCTGACGAACAATCATTACGAGTTGCAACTGTAAACAGGAATGAATCATACCTTCAAGGTAAATGCTTAGCTGATGTGGAGAGATACCCTTTCGTGGGATAATGAAAGCCGTTCCCTTAATGTCATCTCCGACACTGAAATCGGCAGACCCATGCTCCAGTTGGAACTGAACATCCAAATTTGGTCTTTGGATTAGCATTGTGAGTAGGACCAAAGTATAATGCTTTATAGTATGCTCCTTCTTTCAGACAGTGGGCTGCTGGAGTATTTTTTTTTTTTAAAAAAAAAAAAGCCATGAAGCTCTGGATTTCTCTCTCTGCGTAATTATATAGTTCGGTTATATGCTCATAGGACCGTCGGCATGCCGTCACGGCACCGATTACAACAGCGTGACTGGATGAAGCAGCTACAACAGACTTACAATAGTATGATATCGGCAATCAGGATACATATCGCAGATGTTTTCATTAATCACTCAAAAAGAGCACAAACAATTAACTTTTTTTTTTTCTCTTCACCCACCTCTTTTGTTCTATGCTTATGGGCGCCGCGGGGCTAATACTAGTGGAAGTTATACTTGGCTAAGGTTAGACCTCGGCATGTGACCAAATTGCCGAAGGATGAATAAGAGAGGCGAACTTCGTCTTGCCTCTCGGCGAAGGATCAGACTGCCGACAACATCAACGCATGCAGGTCATTCCAATAGTCTGAAATAAATTATTCACCGATGCCTGTCACTAAGCAACAACCCAAGCGTGATAATAAGAAGCCTATAGCGTGCGTTGCCATTCGGGCTTCTTCCTTAGCAAGTGCGCTAACTAGTTCCCTTCCCGCAGCTGCCACCGTTGTCACGCCCATAAAGTTAAATGCTCTGGCGGACAGCCTTGTTCGAGGTGTCGGAGGGCTGGCTGTGATGATGAGTGTCAATACACTCTACGTGATCGCAAGCTCAAAGTGCAAGAGAGGTAGGCATCTTCGATCATCTACATATTGCTTAGCCGTCTCGGATACTGATATGCACCAGTTACCTCGACGAACTTCTTACCCAAAACGCTCAATTAAGAGAACAGCTACGCTCCATTAGTACCCCTCAGAGCTCATCTGCCACTACTGCCGAGGGGTCTATTCCACAAGAGTCCTACCCGCCGGTGCAAAACCCTCTCCTCGGAGAACGGGCTTGGTTCTACCCATACGACCCTTCTGCTCCTCCTATATACATGGGTGATGCAGCATGCACGGCGTTCGCGACGCGCTTGCGCCAGTTCCTTACGGGGGATCCTAATACGGCGCATGTTGCTCGAACGCAATACACCCCCGAGTCATCTTTACTCGAGGGCGCCACTCAATGGCCCGGTCTAGCACAGGCTCGTCTACTGGTTCGTATTGCTTTCAACCAGTTGAGTCGCGTCTACCATCTGTTTCTACGCAAGTCGACCATCGAACACCTCGAATCCATATACCGCACGCCATCGCTACGCGATGACCCGGCTGTTATGTGCAAATTCTTCGCCCTTTTTGCCTTGGGCGAGGTCTATTCGTCTCGGGCCAACTCTTCATCAACGGGTCGAGTTCCAGGCACGTTGTACTATGTACGAGCAATGGGACTAATTCCGATTCTGCCCGAGAGACCAGGTGTCATCCATGTGGAAAGTCTGCTGCTACTGGTAAGTCAACTGCTTCTTCAGCATATCATAGCTATTGCTAAACGCATCAATCAGTCGCTGTACTCGTACTTCCTCAACAGACGACACTCGGCTTATATGTTAGTCGGAAGCGCCATGCGTCTGGGCCTGATCCTCGGGCTCAATCATAATATCCCTGAGCGACAATGCACTGATCCTATAGAACGTCAGCATCGGGTTCGGCTGTGGTGGGCTATCTATGTCTTCGACCGCATGTATACGTCAAAATTTGGTTTCCCGCTACAGATACGCGATGAAGATATCCATGTCGATATGCCTACCGACGTTGCCAGCCCTGCTGCTGAGGAGCAGTTCTCTGATACAGCTTACTCTGTCGCCAGTATTCGACTGTCGCAGATCATTGGTCAGACCATTGACAAGATATATTGTCGCAAACAGCATGCAGAGTCATTTCTCCAGCGGGAGCAGCAGATCTTGCTGGCTTTACAAGACTGGCTTAAATCGCTCCCAGAACATATCAAGTTGCGCTCAGAGGACTCTCCTCCGCCAAAGCATATCGTATCATTACATCTCCAATTCAATCAGGTCAGTTTCCTGGTTATCTCCGCCGGGTCTTTGCGTTAACAGTACGTAGTGCGTGATCTTAGCCACTCGACCCATCCTACTCCATGCTCTATTACATCACAGCAACCGTGATGATAGCGAAGACCTTCCTCAGCCGGTCATCACTCTTAGTGAAGCTTGCATACATGCTGCACGACACTCCCATGCACTCATAATAGAAGAGTGGGTCAATGGCTCTTTGCCTATGTACGGCTATTTCTACGCCCAGTATTTCTTTTCATCTTGCATTGCCTTGGTGATCTCAAGTCTTTTGCCAACGATCGGAAACCCGGCAGATCTGGAGTCGTTAGATACTGCCATTGAGATCCTGCATAGGATGAGTGAACACGGCAATCTTGCTGCTGCTGAATTCTACGAGAACCTCAAGCGTGTCAAGAAAACTTTGGCAACCAACTCTGGAGTTGTTAATGATAGCCATGAGCGTCGCAGTCAAACACCAAGACACTCCCTCGCGTCATTATCGGCTGGAGGCCCGGCCGCAGATCCTCATGCAATTAGTATAGTGCCAGCTACGGGCTATACTACCGAGATGGCATTCTTAGAACCGACAATGCAGGATTTTCTGGGCAGGTCAGAGAATGAAATAGATGCTATCCAGCCATATGACCTTTTCATCGATGACCATGCTACTATTGCTGCATGGCCTGCGACCATGTGGACTTCGTGATCAGATGTATGGCTGTTAATGTCGTGTAATGTCGTCATTAACAGATCAGAAGCCAGAAAATGGGACCGACCCCGGCATGGTGTGCTCTCGCCTTCATACCGCTCAAGGCTTCCGGGTCCACAAGGGGTGTGATCTTCGACCCCGACAGTGATAGTCCTGCGAGGATTTGTGTACACCTTATTGGATAATGTCCCTAGTGTCCCCCACGATCAAGACCGTGTCGATATTCGCATTTCAGACCGTGTAGCACACTGGCGCACACATTCAATCATCGGGAGAGTACTAGAAGGTCAAGTAAGCCAGCCCTTCCGCAAGCAACCATAGCAGCGGGCCGGAACGAGTATGCCTGGAGCCCAAAGGCAACTAAGATGCCAATCGGAAGGCCATCCAGCCATGCTGAATCGGCAATGCGGGAAAAGAAGCTGCAGAAATATTCGGTGGAAGCAAGTTGCCACTCGTGGAATTTACCAAAGTCCACAGTATAGTGAACCTTTGTGGGCATTAGGAATGAAGCGGAATTGGGGTGATTATCGTCTACCGGGTCAAGTGGTTAACTATAGGTGTATTGAATGACGTCATGGAGTCACTGCACTAAGGATGCTTCTTATGTTCCTCAGATATGTACATTGACAGCTAGCTTTAAAAGGCGTAATGTCCAGGCAAAAACAATACAGGACAAAATCAATTAGCTGTAAAGCAGCTAGAAGCAGCTAGAGAATGCAAAATATGGATAACTGGGTGCGAGGACATTCCAGTCCTTTTGCAGGCGGCTGGTATTCACGTGATGACGCGTCGCGTCTGTTCGAGGCTCGAATCGAGGCGCATCATCTCCGTCCCGTCCTTTTCTCCAAACACAGTGGCTGTGACATTGGCTGGCTCAACCAACTCCAAGGAATTATCGGTTCCTACTTGTTCGAGACGCCCAGTCAATCTTGGTTCTTAGGAGCTCAAATCTCTATTGGACCCTATACTCTTAAAGATGTGTGGTCGTTTTTTCATTGTTCTTTCCGGAGTGCCGCTTGATCTCGCCTCTCCGCCCGCTTCGGGCGTCTATACAGATCTTACCCTCCAACGGCGTCTCAAGTTTTGTCTTTCGCGTTCTGCTAGGAGCAGGCGGTAAGAGGAAGCTTGGGAACTAAACCCTAATAGACACCAATCAGTTCGATGCCATTCGGTGGTATCAGTTTCACGGTGTTGCATGGCGGATGCACCGATTAGTGGGCTCGATCCCTGGTGGGATCGACGATATGAAAGGAATCCGATGTCCAGAGCTTCCTCGGAGGCGATCAAAGACGGCTTATCATGCGTTTATTACAAGCTCCTGAAAAGGGCACGCGTCGGTTTGCCAATGCTGGGCGCTACATGTTGATCACTACGGATTGTCACTCTATGCCTGGAAGACTGGAGTTGGAGAGAAAGCAGGCGAAGCATGTCGGGCAACTCTGTTTTGGGAGTTGTCTTAGGGAGCAATCTATGGGTGGTAATACCGTGCTTTTGAGGGCAATACTGCGGGCATCATTCATTACATGTGCAAGTTGATCATCTTGAATACAGCAAACTGCCCACACACTGTCATCAACCCGATATGTCAATGGATCCACTCGTCAGAACCAATATAATCTCTCGGTTGTGTCCAGGCACGTCCGTAGTGATTATATTGCAGCGAGGTCCATTTTCACTGTCGGGCAGGATGACTTATGCTTGGTCATTGCCTTCTATGCAATGCCATCCGACCTTTGGCTTGTTGTCACATTCCGGCACCAGATCAGTCTTGGCATGTAATGGTGATGCTCAATATGCAGGCATTGTCGGTCGTCCACGGTCTTGGGCTCTGTGCTGTCTCGTACATGCTTCCAATCTCGAGGGGCCTGGGACCCTTGTACCTGCTTTCTACCTTGCAACTTCCTGTACTTCGTCCACTTCGGAGGCTAGGTGGCACCAAATCGCGGCACCAGCCACTGATTTGCGCTTCTATAGAAGGTCCTGATCGCCCGTGTTAACCGTCTCTTTGCAATGTAGGTTGCAAATAGATGATGGGCGCTGGTACAGACTACGGTTTCGGTCGTGGTCCCTCCCTTTGGGGAGAAGAAAGCGGCTTTTGGGGATGTTCTTTGTCCGCTTTGAATGCCCCCCAATGTTTCGTACTGCGGGGAGGAAACAAAAACCTGTCCCTGGGGGTACTGTATCACACACAAGAAGTCAGATCAAGTGGCGCTGGAACGTCAATTGATGGGCAGGAAACATGTCTAAAATATATAGGGAGATGGTGCGTTTGATCTAAGGTTCGACTGGGATGCCTTGGATAGGTAAAGGATCGATTTCCTCGGAGGTTGTGAGGCATACCTATGCCATAAACCGCGTTCACTTGACGATTGCGTTCCTCAACTGCTCAACTACTTGCCAAGGGTTCTGTGCTACACTGCTCCCGCAAACAGCCCGATGATCAGCGGTCGCTGCCTTTTAAACCGAGCGAGCCCTTCTCCTCTCCGTCGCGACACTCAGGATCGAGCCAGCTTTTGGTCGAAGCATCATCTTCCAGCATTGTGGGCTTTGGGATTCGTACTGGGAATTCTCTGCGGGACCTCTTGACGGGGATCAAAGTTTAGGCTTGTCTGCTTGGATTTCGCGTTGTTTCCCATGCCATATTGCCTGGATGCTGGTGTTTCTTTCAGGATCGGGCTGAGCTAGCTACGAAGAGAAGGCGCTCTGTTGATGTTCACGGTGGCACTGCAATGGAACTCGGGATTCCGTACAGGAAAGGGAGAGGATGTACTGCCTGAAGTATAGTAGCCGAACAGTCCGGGGTGTTTTTAGTCGGTGAACCCGCCGTTCCTCTTCGGGGGAACGGCCCAATTTTTTCATATAAGTCTCCCCAGTCCCCATAAGTTGGCTTGGCTAACTACAGCAGGGTTATTGGGCGGAAGCATACAGTGCTTTTAGCCGACGGTTGGGTGTGATGTGTGCAACGTCCTGCATAGAATTCAGGAGATGGCTGCGGAAATGTCTATGTCTACATGACCACAATATATACTATTAATAAGCATACTAGGATATTATTGCAACAATCGCGGATCCATCTATAATATCTTTAAAATCATGCTATTTCTGGCGCCCAATAACCCCGGCTGACTAATACTCGGGTGCCCCTCCAAAAAAAAAACTTGCCCCGCCACGGCGATAGTGGAATGTAAAGGAACGTTCCCGCCATTGCTGCTTAAATTTTCCTGTCGCCTTCATTTTTGTGTTCTTTGGCGCAAACGGTCCTTTGATCTTTGTATTCTTTTCAGCACCTCTCTATCACTGTAATTCCAACCCAGTGTTTATACCCCCTTCACAATGTCCGCCGACGAGAACCAGACTCAGCCCGAGTCGCAATTCCAGAAGCCCGGTGATCTGGTGGAGCGCAATGATGACACCGGTGTTATGAGCTTGGAGAGTCTTTGCACCAACTGCCACGAGAACGTAAGTGTTTCCTTAGTGATCTCTAAATACATCATGTTTCTTGTCGTGGATGACGAGTCTAACTTTGCAAACAGGGTACCACCAGACTCCTGCTCCTTCGTGTGCCCTTCTTCCGTGACATTATCCTCGAATCGTTCGAATGCGAGCACTGCCACTTCAAGAACAACTCCGTCAAGTCTGCCGGCCAGATCCAGGAGAAGGGCGCCAAGTACACCCTCGAAGTTGAGAACGAGACCGACATGCAGCGCCAGGTCATTCGCAGTGATACCTCGATCTTCAAGCTCGAGACTCTGGGTATCGAGATGCCCAAGACCGACGGCCAGATGACCACCGTCGAGGGTGTTATCCAGAATATTTACGAGTCTCTCTCCAGCGAGCAGCCTCTTCGCAAGGAACAGGCCCCTGAACTCCACGATGCCCTCGTGCCCATCATTGATAGGCTCAAGAGCATGCTCGACCGCGAGGGATACCCCTTCACTGTCTCCCTCGACGACCCTACTGGTAACTCTTGGATTGCTCCCACCACCGCCGATGACGTCAAGAAGTACAAGCGCCGCGACTACCCTCGTACCCACGAGCAGAATGAACAGCTTGGTATCGCTGCCGACCCCAACGCTGTGCAGCATGAAGGTACCGCCGAAGCCGAGGAGGACGATATTATCGCAGGAAAAGTTTATAGCCTGCCCTCCGAATGCCCTGGCTGCAGCAAGGAGTGCTTTACCAACTTCAAGAAATTGGACATCCCCTACTTCAAGGAGGTGTACGTCTGGGGTACCTCCTGTGAACACTGCGGATACCGCACCAGTGAAGTTAAGACTGGTGGCGAGGTCCCCGAGAAGGGCAAGCGTATCACCCTCAGTGTCGAGAACGAGACCGATCTTGCCCGTGATATCCTTAAGTCCGACACCTGCGCGCTCTACAGTGAGCAGCTCGAGGTTACCGTCCAGCCCGGTACCTTGGGTGGTCGTTTCACCACCGTCGAGGGTCTTCTCACCGAGATCCGCGACCAGCTGCGCGGTCAGATCTATGACATCGACGACACCACCGGCTCCGGCGGAGACAGCATGGCCTCCTCCGACAAGGAGAAGTGGGAGCGCTTCTTCAAGCGTCTCGACGCTGCTATTAGCGGCGAGATGAAGTTCGTCATCACCCTCGAGGACCCCATGGCCAACAGCTACGTCCAGGACCTGTGTGCTCCTGCCGCTGATCCCCAGATCAAGACGGAGGAGTACACCCGCACTGATGAGGAGGAAGAGGAGCTCGGTCTGAAGGACATGAAGACGGAGGGATACGAGCAGGACGCGGAGAACAAGCCTGCTGATGAGCAGCAGTGATAAATACCTCCGTTATACCCGTTAGACTCTGCTTTCGCGTTTCTCTTTGATGACCTTGGTCTTGTCTCTGTTACGATGTGCATGAACTTCACACGCTTGGCCCCTTCGTATATATGCATTGCGATGACGTTTTACGTTTGGCCTTGTTTTCTTTTGTTTTGCTTTTAGATATCCGGTGCATGTTGGCATTGTCATATGGTGTGGTTGTGGGGTGTTCCACTTTTTGTTACTCATAGTTTGGGGGTGATATCCATGGGTTGTGAAAAAAAGTTCATTGATGATGTGTGCTTTTAGAGATATCATATACGAACCATGTATAGATGACCGTCTGTCAGTTTCATTTATCATTATAATGTAGTAGATTGGCGATCCCAATCGGTTTATCGCTCTGTATCTGATTCGACCCAGCATCTCTATCAGCTCAAACCTCAGTCCACCACGGACCTTGTATGAGGTATCGAGCGACGCTGGTAGCCTTAAGTAGTGAGGCGAGCTGAGCCATTGCAAGAGCGACACCTATGACGCATATAGTTTCCAGTTTGCATCAAGCAAGGCGTCTTCACATCTCACAATTGACATAAAGCATGGCCATGACCATACCAACCAACCCTTCTTCAAAACATATCAACCAACCACAAATACCCCCACCTCACTTGGCAAACGGATTCGCATGAATTGTAACCCTCTCAATCCTCAACGGCTCAAAACCCCCCTCCTCTCCCTCCTTCGGCTGCACCACCCTCCCCTTCTTATCAACCTTAACATTCGCCTTCTCCAAACTCCCCAACACATCCCCGCCCTCATCCTGCGCCGTCAGATTCAGCACTTTCCCAAAAACCGTACTCGCGCCATCCAAATGCGGCGCCGGCGCAAACGTCACGAAGAACTGGCTTCCGTTTATAGTTGCCCCTGTGGCGCCTTGCGATCCTGGTGCGGTGCGATCCTTCACGGGGCGGGATGCCATTGAGAGGATACCCCGCGTGTTGTGCTTTAGTGCTGGGAGGTGGATCTCTTGGTTTAGAGCTTGCGGGTGGTGGATCGAGGTGCCGCCTTTGGGGATGTCTTCGAAGGGGAGAGGGGGTTTAGAGCTGGATGAGGAGGAGGTGAGGGAGGGGTTCAACGAGATGTCGCCGCCTTGGATCATGAAGCCCGGGATGAGGCGGTGGAAGGGCGTGTTGTTGTATGCGCCGCTGGCGCAGAGGGCGATGAAGTTCTGTGTGGTGGTTAGTTGGGCTCATTTGGGGATGTGGAGTGAGGTGTGCGAGTGAGGGAGGGAGGGAAGTATGTACCTCTGCTGTTTTGGGGACCGCTTCGCAGAAGAGCTCGACTTTGAGGTCGCCGTGGGTGGTGTGGAGCTGGAGTTGGTGGTTAGTCGTGTTTGCTGGCACTGATGGTGGTGTAATTTGGGGGAATGGACTCACTGTTACAGACATGGTGTGTGAGTCTGTGCTATCTGCTGATAATCGATTGATAGAGTGCAGGCGCAATGAACGACGGAGAGCTGCGGCGATCATCGATGCGGAGCGCATTTATCTGCAGATCACATGACGGTCGTGATATTCCATCCAGCAGAACCACATCCCATTCCTACATCAACTTCACAATATACTCTACGATTTGTTTTGCTGTATACGGTACATGGGTATTTCTCAGCATATGCCATCTGTTTTATTTTGCGATTAGACACACCCAATTCCTTTCGACAACATATCATCATCGCATCTTAATCTACTGTTATTCACCACCATGAACAATAGGCCTGTCGAGCAAGCGTTGGCCACGCTACTGCCTACACACGCGCAAGACCTCCCTCAAGAGCTCCTCAGTCTCGCCATATCACTCGTCGCCCAATCGCGCAGCTTCTCCAGCAGCCTGAAGCCTGAAGAAGAGATCGCTCGGCCGTATGCGTGCGCTGAAATCGCTTGCAAGAGGTGTGTAGTCTGCCATTCTCATACACCAGTCTTCTATATGCATTGATTCTAACTACACCCTCACGATTATAGGTTAACCCGCGCTCTCAAACTTCCCCCTCTCCTCGGCCACCCCCCATGCCCCCCTCGCGCCTACAAAAAGCTCTACGCCTTCCTGGACCGATCCCTCTCAACCGGAAATGCCCGCGCAAGCGCCTCAGCCCCAGGGACACCCTCTCGCGCCGGATCAGCACCCTCAACACCAAGAAAGGGCACGCAGAGGACCCCATCAAAGACCACCGCAACTGCTACTCCGCGAGGGATACAGCAACACCAACAAAACACACCCACGAAATCCACCCCTCTCAAGCGCGCACTCTCACACACCGACGCCGACAGACCCTCACCATCACCTCGACCCCAGAAAATCCCCAAGTTCCGTGCAAATGGCCTCTCCGGCTCAACCATCATCGCCGACGCCCCTAGCTGGGTGATGACTTCCATCCGGACCGTCTGCAAGACGCTTTCAACCCCCGCACCGCGCATGAGCACATGGTCTCGACCACCTATCTCTCGAACCCTTCCACCTCACATCTTCGCCGGTGTATCTACCATCCTCTACCTGATATCCGAAGCGACGGCGAAACACGACGAAGAGATCGACGAGGAGATGATGGAGTTCCTCGAACCAGTTATCCTAGCGAAGGATAAAGAGAACGATGAAGATTTCAAGGAAATCATCAATGCGTTGATTGTTGCTGTGTATTTCCTGGTGCTTGCTCGTCGCCGACAACCGGGGTCATTGGGCGATGATAGTGCCAAGGAGGCAGCGGAGGCGAAGAAGATGGATAAGAAGACGTTCTCGGAGATGCGGCAGACTGCGCTGGTTAGTCTGGGCCTTCCGTCGACGGAGAGGCGGCATCGGGAGGATGTGGATCAGTGGATTGCATTGGTTATGGAGCAGGGGTGGGCTCATGGGAAGGAGTGGTTTGAGAATGTGCCGTTGGCTGGGGAGTTGGATGGAGATGAAGGCGCTTTGGGGGATGAGCTGGTGGGTGGGGTTGTCGAGGAGGATGGGGGTAGGGGCAGGTTGATGGTCTCTGGGAGGGGGGCTTTGGTTGCGGGCAAGTCTTCCAGACGGGGACTGCTTCCAGGGTTGGGGACGATGATGCAGGATCGGGTGGATTGGTTGAGTGAGGATCGCAGGGAGGATTATCTCGAGTGGAAGGCGGATATGCTGGCGCGGATTGAGCAGATTGAGAGGACGGCTCAGGCTGTTTAGGAGTATTTGGAATGATATAGATTAATACAGATGAGATACCCATGCAGTGAGATGATGGTTCTTTGGGGGTAGAACAATATTGTTGTTTGATTGGGTCAGTGGGTTGTAATGAATGATTAAAAATGGTGTACAGAAGCCCACAAGTAAGGGTGAAGTTAAAAAGCAATGCTATGGTATCATTATCACAATGTATGCAAGTCTATACCCATCACCCACCCGAAAAGCAACCTTTGAATGCAATGCGTGGCCAAGTTAAGCAACGGGGTATAGTGTTGAAAAAGCCGATAGAGACAAAAACAAACGCAGATGATATGCTTTGCCGCCAGTCTAATACCAGATACTCCTTGTCCGATGATGCGGGATGGACTCCTGTCCGGTCTTCTCGATTTCTTTCATGGTGTCGTAGAGGAAGAAATCTATCAAGATAGCGTTCACGCCCATCCCAGCGGGTTTTTGGACGGTCTCCTTCTTGACAAATTTCTGGGTTGAGCATTTCTGCTGGTGATCTTCGGCGTCTTCGTCTTCTTCTGCCTCCTTGTCTTTGTTGAGCTTCACCGTCGGGTTCACCCTGGTTTCTGGGTGTCGGCGTTCGATTTCCCTTCTAATCAATTCGACACACCAGATACTGGTTGCTCGAAGCTCAATCTCCCAGTTGGACCCGCTAGGGATCGGCTGCAACCTGCGTATGTGGCTTTCCAAGGGCGGCGAGTATGACATACAGCCGAGTTGGTGGAGCATCTGAGGGATTCGATAGTCTATAAAATATGAGCCAGAGTTCAAGCAAGGTGTGCAGGAAGGAAGTCAAGAGGTTTACCTGCAAACATGGTGATTTTATCAATATCGTTAAACTCTCCATACCCCTCACCATTGAAGCAAGCCCAAAGGTCCGCAACCAAGATCTGAGCCCGCTTGTAGATCCGCACTCTCCGCCCGTGGAAGGTTGTCTCGTCCCGGAAGCAGGAGAAGCTCTCTGCCAGCAAATTGACTAGCGAAGCCGCAGAGTAGTTGGAGTTGTAGATGCAGTTGACAAAACTACCTTCATACTCCTGCAGATGGGGAATTGATTAGCATCCGGCGCAGGCGAAGTAAATGGCGAAGGACATACCCTGCAAAGAACTCGACCTGCCTCTCGCAGGCATTGAAGACGTTCCTGGAGCAAAGGAATCTCTTCATCGGTGGCCGAGCGGAAGACATGCTTGATGAGTTCCTCAGTACATTCATCTTCCTTGGTCCAAAACTCCGGCGTGGTGATCGGAATGTCTATAACAGTCAGATTCTGGCGTCTCTTGCTTAGCGTGCCGCAAATAGACCTACCCTCATCCAAAGCTCTCTGCAAGGCAGCGACCAAGCTCCAGTAGCCTGTCCACTTCCTTCCCCGGTACTCAATCGCGAAGCGCTTCTCGCTAGGGAGCTCCGACCAGAAACTGAAGTTGAGGAGATCCATGGTGAAAATGAAGTCGACGGTGTTTTCGTCTTTCGCTTTAGGGTGTAATTCGTGCTCCGACCATGTTTGCGTCGAGTATTCTTTCTTCTGCATCAGGTTCCATATCGTCTCCGCGGCTTCTTTCGTCTTGGAGGGGTTTAATGCGACGTCGATAGCATTGTCGAAAGCGTATTGTGCATTTTCCAACACTTTTGTCTCTGCGGTTCGAGGATCAGAAGAGCCTCCTAGTCCCAGTGTCTTGCGCAGAAGCGCAATCAACTCGGGGTCTGCTTCGTCGTCCGACATAGCTCCAGGGGGACAGGTCTTGCCCGATGACACTTTTTTTGCACGGTTAGGTGCCAACCGAAGTGTAGAGCGAAATTGGCGAGGAGAAGACGGAGAAGCAGCGAACTCCGGGCTCACGGCAGAGGCGATAGCGAGGAAAGGGGAGGGAGATGGAGGGAAAGAGGAAAACGGATTGAAAATGGGAAATCCCCACGAGCGACTGTCTTTGGATCAAAGACGGTTGTTGCCAGAAAGGGCGATCGGGCCAAAGGCAGGCTCCAAGGCGAATCTCCCAGCGGAAATTCACGCACTACCAAGTTATTTATCTACGGGAGGTAATTCTCCAATGTCGTCTAGGAAGCGGTGTCCTAATCAATCGACCCCGTCAACAAAGTCCTGCTTATTGGTATTTTCATGTCCCTCAATTCTTTTATCGGGAATTTCCAGCTTCAACTTTTTGGTCCGATAAGTGCTGGTTATGTAAGCAAGGGTATCTTATCTCCTTTGCGGGTACCACTTTTTTAAGACGTTTGGTGACAGTCAATTAATCAATGCGATAATCTAGTTTAAGTCTTGCTGATTTAGTCTTGGTTCGACCACCAATCTTCCTTGGAAAAATCTTGGGGTTGAAGCTCGGATACACACATACCCGGAAGAGCCTGTCGGATTCATGGAAGTATGCTGGCCTGGTTGGTTGTTACACAGCAAAGCCAGCCACTGTTCCTTTTCCCCATCCTTGACTCCATTCAGACGTTGGCCTTGTTCCGCCAATGAAAAAGCCCGTCGTCAATGCTTATACTTTGTAGTAGACAGCAACTACTGGTAGACTAGTATACTGCGTTAAAGTTCATTATGGATCTAAGCCCGGAAATCCGTATTAGTCGACATGCTACCACTAAGTTGTGCGATTGTACAACAACAGAGTAGACGTGTGCGCAACATTCTGAGGCGGAAAGTGAGCTATCTCTATAGCACAGTTAGCTGTGGAAGGTGACCTGCTACTTGACTCAGATGCTTCTGTATCCATCCACCCCCTGTTGAAGAGACAGCCTGCTTCCGACGTTGATTCTGCGTTTCCGCAAAGCGCGTTAGTGCTGAGCAAGACAAGTACCTACGAATGTCTCCTACAACTTTGGCGATGTTTCGCTGACTGCGACCCCCCAACAACGGGCCATAGAAAGCCCGTGGCGTCCCACCTAACTGGTCGTCTTTATGATGAATTTACTAGCTGTGGTTAGTGATGATTAGGTAAGGCCAAGGATATCACGGAGAGCGCCGCGAATAAAGAAGACAGACAGTCTTTTGGCACTTTCGCACGGCTGTATTTCAGGTTTCACTCTGTAGGACTGTACGTCTTCGAGCTCTGCCGATCTGTCAGCCTCATGGCCTGGCCATACAGTACGACGTGGATGGGATTCGATAAATTCCACGGCCTAGAGATACTTCGTAGAAAAGCCCGACATCCATCAAGTACAGCCCCCACTATGAAAGATCCAGAACATGCAAAGTACATTGTCAACGTCTGATTTTTGGCGCTGGGTACTCAGCTCCGGCATGAGAACCCCCCCTGCTAGTTCTATACCGTGCAGGAGTCGCCCAACCATCGTGGAGGAGTAAAAGGTAGGAATGTGAGCTCTCACATGCTGGGCTCGTGAGATGCATCAGTCGCATTTGAGGGTTGGCGACATTTGAGCGGCAAGTAAGTGAAAAGTACCTGATAGCAACATCTGACAAGGACACAAGCACGCAGCAGAGAGTAAGTAAATCGACAGACTGATAGTTCAAATGGCCTCGTGTTGGTGCGACAAACAGGGAAATGCGATCGGATGCGGGACGATCGCCATCAAGACTGGCCGATCCGCTTTGGTTGCATTGGACAAGACAAATGTGACGGACAGCTGGAGGGTTAGAACTTCTTTTTTAATTTTTGTATTTTTTTATTTTTGCATCAGCCTGCAGTCAAACATCGGGTTTGTTGCTGGGCATGGATTTGATTCACCTGGGATCCCCCACCCTGTGGTGATGATGGGGTTGAAGGGAAAAGAAGTACTGCAATTCGGGGGAAGTTGAAGTGGGCTCGGGATTGTTACTTCATTCTTCCTGACTTCAACCTTCCTTCCTCAACTGCTTCCGGACTTCTTCCTCTCCGCCGGAGCTTCTTCCTACTTTCACTTCTGCCTCTCATTGTCTTCTGCCTACCTCCATTCCCTCAATTAGCGCCTTGCAAACAGCTCCTTTGTTCGGCGATGCCTTTTCGTCCGCTCTGACTTCGATAGTCTCCGTTTCGATCTACTGTCCGTCTCCGCGCCGCAACCATGACGCGGGAGACTTATCTTAAGCGCTCGCTCGGGACTCTAGCCAGACGAATCAAAGAGGTACCGCTCCCCATCACCCCCCACGCTTATTCTCCTTGACGCTTCTCTTTTAGCAAGAAGCTCAGCTGGCGCATAGCCGTGCTAACTATTTTCCTTGATTCGCTTTTCTAGTCGCGTGTGCTTCTCGTGGGTGCTGGTGGCATCGGATGCGAATTGCTGAAGAACCTCCTGCTCTCCGGGTTCGGCGAAATCCATATCATCGACCTCGACACCATCGATCTGAGCAATCTCAACCGCCAATTCCTTTTCCGCTTCGAACACATCAAGAAACCCAAAGCATTGGTGCGTCAAATCCCTCCGAACGTCTTACTACCTACATCCCCTCCCATTTCCGTCCTTTCCATCCTTCCGAACGAGATCCTGACGGTTGGTGGCGCTATATCTAGGTTGCGAAGGAAGTCGCCCACAAGTTCCAGCCCGGTGCGAAGCTTGAAGCATACCATGCGAACATCAAGGATGACCAGTTCAACGTTGACTGGTTTGCGACATTTGATGTCGTCTTCAACGCTTTGGACAACCTCGATGCTCGACGCCATGTGAATAGGATGTGCTTGGCAGCCAATGTGCCGCTAGTGGAGAGTGGAACAACGGGGTTCAACGGCCAAGTCCAGGTCATCAAGAAGGTGCGCCGTTAAGTCCCTACCTTCTGTGTCTCTACGACTGGTTAGGCGCGACCGCTGACAACTGCTAGGGCGTCACGGAATGCTACGATTGTAACTCCAAGGAGGTCCCCAAGTCGTTCCCGGTCTGCACTATCCGCAGTACACCCAGTCAGCCGATCCACTGTATCGTCTGGGCCAAGAGCTACCTTTTTCCGTAAGTCATCAGGCGGCAACCTCATGCATAATTGCTAATGTACATAGTGAGCTCTTCGGCATAAGCGAGGATGACTCGAGCGAATTTGATCACTCGGAAGATGCCGAAAACTGTGAGTTGGAATTGCGACGTTGATTGACACTGGCTAATGCGTACTAGCCGAAGAGATTGAGAACCTCCGCAGGGAGGCTCAGGCCCTCAAGGAGATCCGTCAATCCATGGGCTCCGATGAATTTGCGCAGAAAGTATTCGAAAAAGTATTTCAGGAGGACATAGATCGGTTACGAGGCATGGAAGACATGTGGAAGACGCGAGACCCCCCGGAGCCTCTGGATTTCCACAAGCTACAAGAGGAGTCTTCGGGCATCGAACCTGTGGTTTCCTGCAATGACCAGAAAGTCTGGACTCTTGCTGAGGACTTTGTCGTCTTCAAGGACAGTCTAGATCGATTGAGCAAGCGGCTCAAGACCCTGCAGGACACCACGAAGAGTGACGTGAAGCCTATACTAGTCTTCGACAAGGACGACGTCGACACTCTGGACTTCGTCGCCGCCACTGCCAATTTGCGGGCCAGCATCTTCAAGATCGATCCCAAGTCCAAGTTCGACACGAAACAGATGGCTGGCAACATCATCCCAGCTATTGCAACCACCAACGCCATGACGGCTGGTCTCTGTGTCTTGCAGGCTTACAAAGTTCTAAGAGGGGAGTACGATCAGGCCAAGATGGTCTTCCTCGAACGCAGCGGTGTTCGTGCGATCAACTCCGATTCTTTGCAGCCTCCAAACCCCAATTGTCCAGTGTGTTCCGTGACTCACGCCAGGCTGAAGATCGATCCTCAGCGCGCGACACTGGAGAACCTGGTCCAGGATATCCTCCGATCGCAGCTGGGTTACGGTGAAGAGTTCTCCATCAACACCGAACTAGGAACCATCTACGACCCCGATCTAGAGGACAACCTGCCCAAGAAATTGACTGACCTCGGGGTCAAAAACGAGAGTTTCATCACCGTCATCGACGAAGAGGACGACCAGCCCCGCGTCAACCTCGAACTTATTGTGCTCGCGACCGAGGCCTCTCAATTCACAGAAGACCAGAAACCCGCCTCCCTGGAATCTGTTCCCGACATCCCTCGCAAGCCAAAGGCACCCGCACCTGCAGCCCCCGAGGCCGAGTCCGAGCCCGTCAACGGAGCAGGCAAGCGGAAGCGCGACGCAGACGAAGCCGGACTTAGCAACGGCGACAACCCAGCCAAGCGAGTGGCAGCGATGTCTATCGCGGATGGTGACGGAGCCAATCCTATCGTCCTGGACGAGGCAAACGGCGGCGCAATCCTGATTGATGATGATTAAAATGATACCAAGGTGGGTAGATAATTGGGGTTCGGCATCTTCGACCAACATAGTGACATTTACTATTTGCTCTCTTGGCTTTGCAGATCTGGCGCATGAATGATTGATCTGGGTTTTGTTGCTTTTGTGTTATTCCTGTTTACTATTCTCATGTAAAATACTTTATCACGCTACTTCGCATACACAAACCCCGCATGATCGGTTTCGATAGAATGGATGATTACTAGCTATGTTGTTTCTGTTTCTGTGAAATGCTGGATAGATTAAGCTCATTTTGATGGAGAAGATGCTCTTATTAGTTATAAGTCACCACATCTAAATATCGTACACACATATTACAGTTCAGTTCATCATACTTCCAACCCCATCAAGATACTAAATAGCACTCAACCCCCCATCCAAATTCAACACACAATTATTCGCATACTCATTCTGCGCCAAAAACACCGCCGCATCCGCAACCTCCTCCGGTCTCCCGAATCGTCGCACGGGGATACTCTCCTTCAACCGGGCCGTTTCGCCATCTGAGAAATCTATTCCTCGCACCAAGCATCAGTAATCCATCCTCACTATAAATAACAATGAAGGATTAATATGAGGGAAGGACATACCAGAAATCATAGGCGTCTCAATATACCCCGGCACAATCGCATTCGATCTAACCACCACATCACGCAGCGACGCCGCCGCCTCAACGGCGACTGATCTCGTCAGACCGAGCACTCCGGCTTTTGATGCTGCGTAGGGAACCGCGCCGGTTCCGGATTTGTGGGCGAGCAGGGAGGAGATGTTGATTATGCATTTTGATGATGCGGGATTTCCACTAGTGCTGGTGGTGGCGGTAGTGGTGAGGGTAGATTTCTTCATCCGATTGCGGATCGAGGCGCGGATGAACGCTCGAGAAGTGAGAAGGGCTCCTTCGAGGTTCGTGCGCAGGATACGTGAGATATCCGTTGGTTCGGATTTCGGGAGAATGGAGGAGATGGAGAGGCCGGCGGCGTTGATGAGGATGTCCGGGTTTGTGGCTTGCTGTGGTGCTCGTTCATGGTGTTATTTGAGGATGGTCTTTCTCTAACATACTGGTATGGATTGTAGGGAGGGAGGTGAAGGAGGATGTACGTACCATTGCTTTCTCGAGCTCGCGCGTCCAGGACCCTGCGTCGGCGATGTCGCCGATTAGGAGGCTGATTCTGGGCGAGGATTCGAGGAGTTGGTGTTTCTCTGGGTTTGTGATGGGTTGGGAGGGTTCCGTGGAGGGGATGGCTGGTGAGTCGATTTGAAGGCGAGATGCGGCGTTGTAGAGTCGCTCGTAGGATCGTCCGATTAGGATCACTCGTGAAGCACCTTCTTGGAGGAAGCGCTCCGCGATGGCGAATCCGATGCCGGATGTTCCGCCTGTGATCATGCATGTTCGGTTGGAGAGGCGGTTGGAGGGGGTGAATTGGGAGTATGCTCGTTGAGTGGAGAGGTGGAGGTGTGGGAGGTGATTGTGAGGTGCCTGAAGCCTGAGGGGTACGCCAGGAAGGCGTAGGATGTTTCTTTGATGTCTCATGGTGTGATAAATGGGTTTATAGCATCTGTACTAGGAGCGGAAGAAGTGTATAGTCTTAAGGTATACCGGGCTCCTTCGGTAGTTTTGCACAGAGTGAGAGAATACTACAACTGATTAGTCGATGTGTTGTAGAGGAATGTTGCACAACTTACTACTCCCTACTTAACAGAACCCTTGTTCCCAAACCTGCAACTAATTGTGTATAATTTTCTACACAACAGACACCAGAATAAAGATAGTTAACTAGACAATCAAAAGAAGTGACAGCATCGGCATCGGAGCTTAAGCACGGACCACCCCGAAACTGGAGCCTATCAAGTAACCGCAGCCTAAATTAAATCGCGGAACCAAAGCCGATTATTACTCACTTATCGCCCGCCGCACCGCGCCGCGTCTCGTACTATCTTTGCCATATTTCCATCCAATTCCATCTCTCTCGTTTGCTCCATCTACTACTCACTTATTTATTTATACATCTCCGCCACCCACTCCCTCACACCATGTCCGCCTCAGTTCCCTCCTCCTCCTCACAGTCCGAATACGTGACTCTGGTGTCCGGCGATGGATTCGAATTCGTCATCCCCCGCAGCACAGCCTGTGTGTCCGGGACGATACGTCGCATGTTAGAGCCGTCTAGTGAGTTTTCTTTCTCTCTTCACTTCACATTCGCATGCTAGTGGTGGACATCTTTGCTAACTGGTTGGTTTTTCTATAGGTCGGTTTTCAGAATCTGTTACCGGTCGATGCGTCCTCGAGAATATCAGCGGCATCGTGCTAGAAAAAGTATGCGAGTATTTCTGCTACAATGAGAAAAATAAGAACCAGACGTACGTTCCGGATATGGATATTCCGCCGGAGTTGTGTTTGGAGTTGTTGATGGCGGCGGATTATTTGGATGCTTGATTGAGGTGGGTTGGTTTGATTTGGTCCGTCATTCTTTGTATAGTGTAGGTAAGTGGATTGAGTTGGGTTGGTTGGTGCGGGGTTTGTACTGATTGTGGCATTAGTTTTATTGCAGTGGGATGGCTTGGGATTTTACGAATAACGCGACATGATGGCTCTATGTCTCTATGGTATATCATATGGAGTTTGGTGGTCGTGGTTTCAGCTTCTTTACAGATGGTAGGGTGGCGTTAGAATCTGGGTATATAACTTGGAAGAATAGATGGATATCTTGCTGTCTCTTGTCCCTTTTAGGGACTCCCTCCACTGCACATTTCGTCTCACTTCGTCAGTGGGCTATTAGCGCCACTGGCTCGCCATCGGAGCATCTATATCCGTCCTTTCACTCCGTGGACGGGTGTACTAAAGATGATGGCAGATTGTTACCATCCCCTCTATTCAGTCCGTGTCCGTTCTGGTGGATCTCGGGCCTTATTCCAGGGGAGAGATGCTCTTATCCCTTCGAGGCTGTATTTAGCATGAGCTGTATAATGGAATCTGATAAGCCCTCAGCGTCCTTTGGGCCGTGGACGCCAGGGTCCTTTGTTTCCTTTCGTGTTCTGCTGCTTGTAAAGCTTTTCCTTGCCAAATGCCGAGTCTGCAATTCGGAGATAGCTCACGACGCCCTCGTCGACTACAGCCAGGATCACGTTCCTGTATCCGTACCGGAGTCGCTGGTACAGCTGGCGACTCATCTTCTCGCCCACTGGTGGGTCGAGCGGTGTGCTCTCGAGCAACGCCCCAAGCTGAGCTGATGTCGGGATCGTGGTGTGCGTGCGTGCATTCACAACGGCGAGCCTAAAGTCGGGGGTCGGAGGGGCGGATTTCTTGAATGGTGTGGATGGCTTGTAGATATGGAAGACTACACGGTAGGGCGGTGTCGTAGGAGGTGATGGAGATGGCGAAGCAGTCGGGTCATACCAGGGAATGATAGAGAGTTTCTGATATATGTTATCTGAAAGATCGTCAGTATAACCGCAAGCGCTGCGAGAGCAGGAAACGTACCATAACTGCGATGAATCCCAAGACCCACAACCGGTCCCAACGCAGTTGTAGCGCTACCAGGTTTGTACAGCCACTGCAAAAGCTGCCTAAACACCCCAGCAATCCCAAGACCCGAACCCTGAGGCTTCTCCAGTGCTATTTGCTGTGATTCGCTGGTCTCCGCGCCCTCCTCTGCATCGTGCCACCCCGGGGCACGAATGATCGTATACCCCAACCGCCTCAATCCCGTATAAACCGAGTACCGCTCACTAGTCAGACCGCTCCGCCCCATGAACGCCGCATAAGCAGCCTGTAAGCTCATCGGGATACCAGAGTCGTCCGTCCCCTCATCGTCAGCACAGCCGACCTCCGAGCACGGCCACCTGATATCTAAGGTCCCTCTTTCAAGTAGATACAGAGCCTCCTCCGGAAGTAACCATACGCGGTTCCAACGATCAGCCTGACCTATCGATTTGAAGTACTGTCCCTTCGGGGCGGGAACATAGACACACGAGTCGGGATGGACGCCTATATCCGTGCCTGCGGGTTTCGAGGGCTCTGATTCTTCTGTGATGGTATCTAGCTTTTGGGCAGATCGCAGCGGGATCGGTCCATTGGGAGAGTATATTCCAACGACTTGTGTCTTCGGGTGGTGTAGACGAGGGTATGAAAGGGCATTGTGCATGGCCTGTCGCGAGGCAGAGAGAATGTCGGCTTGGAAGAGCGTGGGGTTCGGTTCGAAGTCCTTTTCACCGCGTTTGGGAAGACTTTGCTGGGAACCATCTGTGAGGCTGTTTTCTTCCATTGTCAGTATGCCATTTGCGCATTAAGCTGTAATTGGGGCAGGGTGCAGATAGACGCGTGGTAGCACTGACAAGGAAATGCTATTCAGCATGCGGAAGTCCTGAGTCTCGTCGGAGAGGTCGGTGTCAATGTGAGCGCTCGCATCCTGCGAGGGCATGTGAATGACGGCCTCGTCTATGTCAGCCATTTTGATTCCAGCTGACAATGACCCAATCCAGAGAGCATGTAGTATCGGTCGGGGATGGCAGAGCGCGTGAGGGGAAAGCGAGAGTGGAAAGAAAGTTAAGCTGCGCGGGCGGATCGATATCCACTTCCGATAAGAAAATCTGAATGCACGGGGGGGGTTTAGTTTCGGGCTTAGCCTGCGGTCTGCCTTCCAACTTGCATTTCCAACCAGTTCTGGTGAAACAATTGGGGCGTCCAAATTAATTGCTTTCTTTTTTTTTTCGTTAGTATACTAAGGTATCCCTTCTGCGGGGAACTTCTTAGGCAGCTTCTTATCGGTTGATGGCTAAACACCGAACAATGGACATCGATAATGGGAACCAGAGGTAGCGCATCATGATGCTTTTCTATAATACGTTACATACCATCACTGCCTTTACTTTGAGTGTATCTATATTACATATTTAGTATAGCTCGATGTCATTATCGTACTGATTATTACACTGTAGTAGTCGGTGCGATATATCTCTGAAGTACATTATTGCATGTTCAAGAGAGAAGGGTATTCACCACCCCTACTAGATAGTAACCCAATCAAGCCAAACCTATTCACAACACTCAAACCAAGCAATTCTGCCCCTGTCACACACCCATAGACCGCTCTTGTGCGCAGCGTTGACAACTGACGCCTAAACCTCAGGCCCAACAGGCATTCTCCAGTCTGCTTATCAGATCCGACAACCGCGGGGTTGAAATTCAAAAAGGGTCCGCACCACCATCATAAAATTTCTTGACCTTGCTCCAGTAGCAGCATCCTTTGTGCCCATCTCTCCAAAATGGAAGATCCTCGTCCTGACTACAAGGCGATCTTCACTCAGGTAAGTTTTCCAGTTAGGCACATACAATCATCATGTAGACCTGCCCCTCTAACGCAGTTTAGATCACCGTCAATCTCTCCAACACACTGACTACATTCGGTCCTCGTTCACCACAATACAAGTGTGTTGTGGAGATGCTCAAGGAGTTTATGAGACGTGTGGAGAAGGATATGAATGAGCGCAATCGTCGCGAGCTTGATCCGGATATGTTGAGCACTGCTATGGAGTTCTTGAAGATTGGGGAGGAGAGATGACTTGGACTATGAGACGGGATAGAGGGGTTGGATTGCTGGTTGTCGGTATGAAAACTGATGACCTTTTGACTCGAGTCTTTTGACAAGCGTGTTGCATGGCTGTTTTGGCCGGAAGTGCCTTCATGTATTATGCTACGATGTTTAACGAATACCCTACAAATTTGGAATGTGTTGAATACTGGCGCTGCCGTAAATGATTGAAAATATACGAGCCTCTCGCCTCGCTGTGTCTGGTTCTCGTTGTATTTCGTTCAAGGAATTAGCATCGCTATATAGTATTCCAGATAATCGGCCTTGCGTGATAAGCAAGAAATATTGTGAACTATGCGGACGGGATCATCTATCTGCCCTGTCTGTCACATGTTGAATCCAAGTTGTGCTGCTGAGAATGGTTCCTTTTCTTTCGCTTCCAAAATTGAGCCGTGAAAAGGTAGATCTTACATATTATATTGTGCATGCACCACTAGAACATGCATGGGAAAGCACGTGAACCAAACTAGAATGGAACCTCTCCCCCCAGCCTTTTCCTCCGTATGAAGCAAAGGCAACCCAAACACCCCGTTTTGCTCCGGCCAACAAAAAATGGAACGAAATGGCTACCAGGAAACCCATGCAACGACAAAACTCCGTAGCCCATGCATTCGTAAGACGTAATGACGCTTCTTGCGTCACAGCAAGCACGCCGAATCAGAAAAGAAATATACGACGCGATCAGGCTCTATCGGCGCGTATGAGGCGTTGTTCTGGGGCTGGCGCTGTGAATTGGCCCGATTAGCCCGCAGCCGAAAGCCTGGGCATGCTTCGTTGGAAATGGTGGACATTTGAGTCCGAACTGGCAACTGTGGCTCAGTCTATTAAGGGCTTCTTTTGATTGCCGACAATAGCAACACCCAGATGACGAAGAGCATTGGGATCGTTGGGCCGCACGATAGAGGGAAGCGGCAACATGGGATTATCCGGATTGATATGTACCGCCTCGCGGGCAGCCTGTTCGATAGCATCCATTTCCTCTTTACAACCAGCATGGTCAAGAGGACATACAACTATCGGCTGTCGAATGACAATGTCTCTGGCGGAAGTCAAGTGGGCCTGTGGTATGATTGTTAGCCAAAGTCATACGACTGCACATGCAGTGGGAAGACGAACCTTTACTGTGAGATAATATTCGATCTTATAAAGACTCGCCGTTGTCGTAAACCCCGTCACAGCATAAGCCGGAAAAGCCATATCGCTCCTGGGAAGAATACCCTTGGAGTCTCGAAGATCTTTGGCTGGAAATACTAAACCCAGATTCGTCAAAAAGCCCGACGGGGGTAGCTTTACTCCAATCGGCTCTGTTCTTTTCGTCAAGGTCCTCACTTTCCGTTGTGGCTCGTCACCTTCATGGTTGTATATAATCTCCTCATCAATACCGATAGTAATCTTGTTGATCGTGACTTTCCTAGCTTTGCCTATCCAGTCGAGATTGGGCGATAGTTTGACGTAAACGCTCACAGGGTCAAGGGGGCCGTAAGACCACCGAGGCAAAGATATGCCCAAGGTGACCAGATGGTCCGACACCCTTTCCGCCGACTCAGGTCGGTTGTACATGCCAAACGTGGAGAGTGTGTCATAGCGTGAGATGGGAACCGGGAACGTGTATTTTCGCTGATCCGAATGACCTTGTTGAACCATGACCACTATTTCATAGAATGTCTCTGCGGTGCGACTAGGCAGTTGTAAACTGGCGGGTGGAACTCTCCTCGAAGCGTCCGGCCCTCCGCGCCCAAATGGAATGAAAAGGACGAAGGGCAAATCCATGGATATCACTTCCTCGTACTCTCGACCCGCTGGGCAACGGAAGAGGAGCATCTCCTTGCCCACAATATCCGTGATTTCTTTCCTAGGGGGCGCGAGGTGCTTCTTGGTCACGGAGTCGGCGGAGGGATGTATTGTCTCACGGCGATGAAGGGATATGGTGACGAGGGACACATTGACGGGAGCTGTAATGCCGACGCTAGGCCTGATCTCAACCTTGCCCTCGATACGTGGCTTCTGGAGGTCAGCAAGGGCTGTATGTATCGGAGATAGACCAGAGAATAGTCGGTTCTCACCATTGTTGCAGATATACCGGGGTAGCCGATCAGGAAATGGCCATTCGGCGGCCCCGACACTCGCACGAATGCGGCCATGCTGAGAGCACTGCTACCGCACCACCATGGGCACGCGGCGGGTGAGAGGGATGCGCCCCGGGGATTCGGCGGAGTATATGCGACCTCGAAGAGCTATATATCGGCGGTAATCTCATAGAGAAGCCAAATATGGTGTGTGAATCCCGCTTGATAGCGCTGCACCCAAGGTATGGTGAGGGCGCAGTTGCGGTACACCCCTCTCGTTGCTATGGAACGTGAAGTTCGGACCCAGTCTGGGCGAGGCTAGGCGATTACCGCTTCGAGTGCGGGCGGCGTCAGACAGGAATTCGGAAGCGGCAAAGGCAGGGAAACGGGGTTAGAGTCGGAAGGATGGTGGAAAGCGAGAGAAAGCCGGTGCGACGTTGGTGAAGCAATCGAGGGTTGTTTACAAGCGCTGGTGTGGGGAGGGGAGAAGGTGATGGGGAACATCTGCGGCGGCTAAGCAGGTTAAGTTCCCAGCGGCAGCCACGGAACTACTTGAACTGGACCGTCTTCCCGACCCTTGTCAAACCAGCCAGCCGCGATTCTTGTGCGCAGTACGGAGTATAACGAAGGAACTACCAAAACCAACTTATTAACTCATCCCCGATTCCATCCCCCTGTCAGATCATCCGCATATTGTCAATACGAGCAGGGCACTCAGTCTTCGGAAGACAGCTAAGAACACATTTCAACTTCTCTTGGTGCTAATTAAACTATTGAGCTGTCCACCAGGCAGAACATTTAACTATTGATCGTCGTTTTTCAATAAACGGGGCTTGGTTGATGATTATGCAGAGTGAAATGACGAAGCCATTCTGGGCGGCAAATTGATTGCATATTAAGTACTAACAGCTTTGGTTGCCGCCTGGTCTATTAATCATCCTCCTGTACGAAGTACTGACAGCAAATGCATCCTGGATGTATTCCTAGCTGACCGCTCCTGAGCATGTTCCTTCCTTACTGTGTATGGACTCTTATCAATCTGCTTACGGTGAACTCGGTTAACTAAGTTCAATTCATGCATTCTGTCTAACAGACAGATAGATAGAGCTGGATCTTTCCATGGCGCTGATCCATGCTTGGATGGATTCCACTTGAAGCTCCCCTGCAAAAAGCGGTCAATCGTTGGTTCGTTGGTTCGTTGGTTTCCCGCTTTGCAGGTCTTGTTTCTTATCGATGATGCCATGTGACTGACCCATACTAGCGATAAGCAGGTAGACACTTCCCAATCAAGGATTATCAATCACAACCACCATACTGAATAGTACTGACTTAGTGACGAAAGAACGTTGTCAATACTATAACCGCAGTCAAAACAAAGCAGGTAAAATCAACCTATCGATCCACTAGTATAGTTAGATAAACGTGCAGATTTCTGCAACGTAGTGGCATGCGCAGTTTCACCTTAAATGTGATCTTCTACAGGATATCCCCATCGAACCACCAAAGTGGATACTACTATCTTACAATTTGAAAAAGGGCCCTTGGTCAGCTGCAGGCCGGGAGGCTGCTTCATCCACCAATTTCAGGTACCACTACTAAGTAAGTACTTACTTATCTAGTAGTTACCCCGCAATATTCTTCGTTATCAGGCCAATAGTACAGTAAGCCGGCGGGTTGACTACGTGAGACATGCGGACAGGCTGACTTGCTATAAATCTATATAGCTAATAAAATCCATGAAGAACGTTATTTTATACTCAAACATACCATCCAAGCAAGCAAACAAGAACAGCTTCTGCTGGGATTCCAGGGGCGATAGAACTGGATTGGGGTTGGTGGAAGTAAATCCGGTAGCGGCGGTTGCCATGTGCAACAAACCAATGATGACATCGTCTCCCCCACACTCTCAACCAAGCCTGGCCCAGACGTAGTCCTGGATTTTCCTTCAGCCTGGACTCGGTTCATCAAACTGCTGCATATTATCTATACACCTTCTAATAGACGAAGCAATCCGAATATAATTGCGAAATGCCCCCCACTCGTCGCCGCGGAGGTAATACTGCCGCCTCTCGTTCTAATCAGGCAACCCTCTCATTCGGCTCTAAATCCAGAGTCACCAAGCCATCAGCAGCGCCATCCACACGCTGTCAAAAAGCCAAGGATCTCGACTTGATTGACGCTTCTCGATCAAATACTCCATCAGTAGACGATGTATCCGAAGCAGAACAGGTTTCTGTTACTTCCACGGAGCCTTCGCAGCCCCATGTGGCAGAGCTTGCCGTGAGGCAGCAGGCTCGGGCGGAGATTGAGCAACCACGGTCAGAAGAGGATGCTAAGGCGGAGAAGATCACCGAAAGGCAACTGCAACAGTACTGGAAGAAGGAAGAGGCAAAGAGACAAGGGCCTAGAGGTGAGTCACACATCCCAGTCAGGCAACTCCTGTGATAAGTACGCTGATCATGTCCACCAGTTCACCAGGAGGGCCTCGATTTACGAGAGAAGATTTTGCGCAACTTCGACCTTTCAAGCCAATACGGGGTAAGTCTGTCTTTATTTGTACACCACATGTTTGCTTGAACTAACGCTCTATCACTCTAGCCTTGCATTGGAATTGCTCGACTCAAGCGATGGAGACGTGCGCATACGCTAGGCCTCAATCCTCCCCTCGAGGTGTTGGCAGTGTTGTTGAAACCAGACGAGGATACTAAACAGAGGGCGTATATTGACGAACTGATGTCTTGAGCATGCTTTTGGTGGGACACTGCGCAATATATATTTCTGTCCCATGGACCAGCGTGGGATAGATTTTGGAGTACGGGTGTTTGTGGGACAGGCGTTTGGGATAACTCTGCGCATACCCTTTGGATTACTACTTTGAAATGACCTACATTGCTTTGATTGCCAACCTTCATTTTTCACCAGTCTACGCTCTTTATCTGCAGACACTGTGGAACACAAGTCGCCACTCAAACTATGCACAAACACCGTAGTAACAGGTATCAAGGTACATAAGTAAACATCTGAACTGCATGGCTGGGCGACTGTATTATTAGTAATTCCCAAAACGCCACTCAAGAAAGTTCTGATCAGCAACTCTGAAGTTAAACCTGACCACTCTGGTCACACAGTATCTCACAAAGAGGGTTGGATGCTTCCGCGTAAAGGACCCGAAGATGTCTGGGCTCCGGGAGACGTTGCGTTTGAGCTCTTCCTACTCGGTTGGTTGAACAAAAAGCCCCTTTCAGTGCTACCAAACAATTGGTCTACTATCACTGTCCTACAGGACGTTCACTGCAAGCTCCCTTCGAGACGTCCAAGAAGCCCTTGCATTGGCCAATCTACGCTCAGAGGTAGGCTCAGAGCTGGGTGTCACTATATTTGGACCTCGTCGCTTCCAGGGGTTGTCTTTCCTGCATGCTCATCGCACCAGATGACTGCAGCCGTTTGTTTCCAGACTCCATAGCTGATGCCTGTCGTTGAATCCTCCTCGAATCCGATTAGTGAAGTCTGCTCCCTGTTATTTGGTCTCACTTTGACAAGAAGTGCCATTGGTTCTACAACGGTTCTAATTTGAGGGTCTCAATATAGTACTAGTACAACAGCGACTGTCACACGCTCTGGACAGGAATCCGCGTGTCACCGAACTACGTGCAATTTTACCCGTCCTACGTCGCAATTTGCTCATTCGGCAGTGATATCCGTCTATATACATGCCCTTCCAAGAACAACCCAATGCATAGGTCAAAAAGACGACCGGCCAACATTATAAGACATTTAGTTGATTGGCCGTGCGCATTGGAAAATGATATTTGCCCGATCACTCCAATAGGCCGGAGGTTCCTACATGGATTGAGCATCTCCCACCGCATGTCCTCAATCTACATGAAAAAGGGGCAATGCGATATGCCTCAATGGGAGCACTATATGCATGTGATACCGGCTCTAAAGTTTCGTGGAACAGTGGCACAAGCTTATAAGAAGCGAGGTCCTCCGCCCATGCGTTGGTTCTGATCTGCTTGTCTGGTAGCCATCGTTTATCGCTCCCTGGCATACACTTACCTTCTTTTCGACGCAAGCTACAACAACTTCGAGTAATAGAAAGCCAAGCACCTCAACAATGCAGCTATTCCACACACTTCTCGTTCTGCTCGCTAGCACCCTTGCTACTGCACAACTCCCAAATATCCCTTCATGCTCTGTAAGCTTCAACGCCCAGCTGATGAGGTCCTCTTGACTGACATCGTCTCTCATCCCTTAGATAAACTGCTTCATCAGTGCATTTCAGCATGATGGATGCTCACAGCTAACAGACTTTGCTTGCCATTGCCAGAAGCCAGATCTTCCTACCACCATAACCCCCTGCGTCCAAAAAGCATGCAACGTTGCCGACCAGTCTGGTAGGAGCCAAATTGTTATCTTGAGTAGTGGAATGAACTAATATCTTGCCAGCCGTATCTAGTGAAGTCGTCCGACAATGTTCCATCGCAGGCCATCCTATTTCTATCCCTCCAGTGGGCGGTGGCCTCGAGACTACGACCTTGTCTATGCCCAGGACTTCCACTACTGATGGAGAAGCTGTCTCATCGAGCGCTGCCTCAGCGACCCTCCCGACTGTATCCTCTTCAGGTGCTGCATCATCTTCCAAGGTGTCGCATTCCTCGTCCGCATCTGCATCAGCGTCGGCATCTAGCTCCCACGCTCCGTCAACGCCGGGCTCACACAGTCAGTCTGGTCATGCATCATCCACAGCATCTCCATCCTCTCCCCTTTCAACTGGCTCTGCGTCGACTATCAAGGCGGGTGTAGCTGGGGCTATAGTTATTGCTGCAGCTGCAGTGTGCGTGCTATAGACGGACTTACAGTGTAGCAAGTCAGACCGTTGGATTCTTACATGGAGTATGAGAAGTGTATAGCATGTCTCTCCTTCTGCTATTTTGCTGCTGGTGACCTCTCTCGGATAATTTTCGGTTATTATTTTTACTTCTGTTCCACTGGGTACTCCCCAATATGGATTCTTACTGAGCCCCATCCATGTCTCTACATGGTCTTAATAATATTTATGTCTTGTTCGAGAGAAAGCTTTTGATTGACTTTGAAATCATCTTGTTGCTATGCTGTGCATTGTACTACCACTTTTCCCTAATACGTACTTCCTCATCCCGCAAACCCAGCAGTGCACTGGAGTGTGCAGGGTATCACTGTAGAATCTGACCCAACCGGGTCCGGAACACACCTACAAACCACATCCAATTGAATGCACGGCGACTGCACCACATGCTCACATTCAAAATGAGCCCAGGAACACTCAGTATCAGGAGAAGCCTTCAAAAATGACAACATTAACTCGTTATTATCGTAAGCGACACTAAACGACCGTACGCTAGCTCCAACCTCAGCATACATAAAGGGCAGACCCTCCGAGCTCCTGTCATCCTTTCTTCTTTCCCTCACCACCAACCGAGACCTGCTGAACAACACAACACCACCAACTCCAACTCCATAAGAAAATAAAGCAAGTCTGTAAAAATTCTTCCTTCTTCTGATCCTTAACTCCCTTTACTCCACGCTCAACCCAAAACGGAAAAGAAAACCAAACGCCAAAGAGCGAACTTTTCACGAGACGCGATCCTCGCTGTCAGTCAGCTACCACACTCCTCAATCGGGACTGAGGAGGTGGTAGCTGACTGACAGGGCGAGTTCATTCATCAATCAGTCACTCTTGAGCGGACGACGACGCGGAATGCCCATGACCCTCCTGGTGCTCGACAGCATCATCGTGGCCGTCGCGGACAACGTTTTCCCAGAAGGCATGGACGATCTCATAGTCACTGTCGTCGTCCAGGTTAGTCGAAGTGTCGGCGTCATATTCAGGGTCGCAGGGCTCAATAACCGCTGTATCCTGGTGGATGTCGTCGTTGACTCCCTCGCTATTAGTGAGTGCTTCATGACTCCATTAGCATATTTCTTCATAGTTTCCTAACTGGTTAACGCACTACTACCAGAAAACGTACTCTGATCCATCTGGTCGACATTACCCTCGTCACAATCAACGCCCGGCACATTGGAGATCAGACTTTCAGCCATAGCTGTAACGATATCCTCCACAGTTGCCTGGTTGAACCAAGTTATCTGGACACCCCCATCACCCACTTCCTGGACATGATCCTGATCCTGAGCGGGAGCAGTCTCATTGACCGGCGAAGCCGGAGAAGGTGCAGGAGCTGGAGCCGAGACAGGAGTAACAGGCCACATCAGAATGACGATATCGTCGTCGGGATCACCACCACCAGCCTCATTGGTATGAACGAGCTGCAGCGTGAACTCCCTCGACGAATTAGACAGAATGGATGATGCAGTCGACATCGAGCTAACGGCACTTTGCGGTGGGGAAGACGTCTCTCTAGACGGGACCTCAGTGCCGCCGCTGGCGCCGGCGGTACTAGTAGGAGTACGTGCGGTGATGGATGTGTCGATCTTCAGGGCCGGTCTGTTGGGCTTGTTATGGTCGTAATTATTTTCTCTGTCATGAGGATGATCAGAGGACGACGCCATGGTTGCGCTGGTATTTCTCGTCAGATTTTCTGATTATCCTCTCTTTCTCTCTCCCCGATTTCTCAGATTGAATCTGTCTTACTGTTGTATCCCAACGACAGCAACCTTATCTGTGGATTGATCCATAGTCAGTTCTCTGTGATTTTGTTTTTCTTTCCCTCTTAACTGAGCGAGAAGCAATCCCCCGGAATGGACTGCCATCAGATCATCACTTACTGGATTCGAAATGATTATTAGTCTTTTCAGTTCAGTTCAGTTCTGTCGATAGCGGAAGAATGGTACCTAGAACTTCTGAATGTGAGAATGCGCGTATTTTGTGATAACGCCGAGAAGAAACGAGTATGCTGCGATAACGCCGAGAGAACGAAATAGAACGAAGAGATCCGTATTAGTAGATGACGGTGTTGACGTGAAGAAGTATACATTACGCGATCGATGCATGTATGTATGTGACGAGGGCTGGGTCAGTGAATGCGCGTTTCGAAACTGGGTCAGCAGCATCTTTGTGTGTTAGAGTGTGAGACTGGTATTGAATGTGAGTGGAAATTTCGCTTGTTGCTTTCGTTGTTGGGTGAGTGGGTGAACAGCTGTGTGTTAATGTAGAAAGAGAAAGACTAAGGTGGTGTGATGGATGTGCTGGGTCCTTGTAGCTTGTGGAGTTGGGCTTAGGGAGAGAGGGCTTAAAATGGGTGGTTTCAATTTGGGGCTAGACTGATTCATGATGATATCTGGATGTGGTTAGGTACTGTGTAGTTTATGAGGAATGGTATAGGTAATGTGAGGATGGAAACTACTATATCCGCACTGCAAATATTATCCTAGATGGTACAATGTACATTAATCACTCTATCTATCGCTTTGCATTCAAATTACGCTAATGTTGCTAAATGAAGACCTCGATATGTGAAGCGTGAGGCCGATGCGGAAAAGAAAACAAGACTTATGGGACCCATAACCGGACATAACCTGCAACGTCCTGGCGGCATGTCACACAGTTTCCAAAGTTATTCATGGCAAGACTGACACGGCAATCCTCGCAAATACAGAGACACCGACATGGCCAAGTGATGATAGAACGGGGGCTAGTCTGACAAATGACGCACGGTGGCCCGCTGGGTCCAAGACCCGAGGCACCCGATTCCCACGTCTGCTCGTCTGCGTTTGGAGCGGACCGCATCTCGGCTCTTCGCGAGAGGATGAGGTTTTCGAGAAGCTCGGCTTCTTCCTCAGAGGTAGGCTTGCGTTTGCCATCAGTAGACTCATGTGTGGAGGGCTGTGCTAATCGTGAGCTAAACAGAATCTGGGCTCGGTCCCGTTCAACATGTTTTTGGAACTGCCGACGGGTCATTATCCGACCCTCACGGCCAGCAGCCAGGTGAGCAGATAATATGCGCGCTTCGTGTCTGCTTTCTTGATCGCGAGGATCCAGCAGTCGTGCCAAGGCGCCGATGTCCACGAGCGGTTCTTGAGCTGGAGTACTTTCTCGGGAGAAACGACCCGGAAAGGGGTCTTCTTGAGTGGGAGTGCGACGACCGTCGGATTCGTACCCTTCCCACTCGGAGCCGGCCGTTGTCGACATCGATATGACACTCGTAGTGTCTTCCCAGTCATCAAAAGAAGGTGCGTAATCAGAGCTCTGGTCCTGATTGCCCCATGAGCCTCCCACTTTCCACCAACCGTAGAGTTTGTCGTCAAGTCGGCGTTCATCGGATTCCTCCCAACCAGCGGCCTGGATTCTTTCCCTCTTTCGCATCTCTCTTTCTACATCAAATTCATGGTCGTCGGGTAACTCTAAAGCTCCATCATCTGTCAAAATCCAAAAGTCTAGAGTATCCATGCGGCTGCCCTTTCTCTTCTTCTGCGAGTCCTTTGGTGACCCTACCGCGGATTTCAACCACTGGGGCCGGGCAGTTATGCCCATCCGGGAGAGAAGCTTGTCCAGACCGTAAGCAATCCACTTCAGAACAAGATAGAAGATGCCTCGGAAGAACGCAAATCCATGGTAACAGCGAACCACGCCCCTGAAGGTACCCACACCACCTGCATCATTTTGCGGACGAACAGGCCTGGAGCCTGGCTTGGGCTTCTCGATTTTCTTTTCGCGCGAGTATCCGCTCTCCCATTCCACGGCTGACTCGGTGATATCGAAGTCTAACTCCCCATTTTCAGAGCACATATCCGCGGAAGGATCACCGCGGGGGTTCCAGGATGACTGCTTGCGATGAGACTCTATTTCGGCCAGCCTATCCTGTTCCAACCAAGTCATCCTGCGCGCGGAAACCCGCCTTCCTTCATTGAGAAAGACTGCTTCGCTGGCAGCCGTCAAAGCCGTGTAACCGATCCTCAGCAGCGTGCTGTAGAAATCCTCATGCCAGTTAATACGGATATTCTGGATCTGGCTGGCGCCCTGCATATTCTCATGTGCAAGGGAGAATCTTTCTCGAAGTGTCAACGAGCCCGATGTCTGCATAGGCAGCGAGAACGCTGTAATAACCAGAGCAATCATGTATATAAAGACACAGGCGATAATTCCCAGCAGGATGAGCAGGTGAGGAATGAACCCTACAATACATACAGTCGGAAATTTCAAAACGACACTGTCGCTCCCAACTGGAGAACCGCCGAACAAGCCCCATGCCATAGCCGACATGAAGCAAAGGCCCCAAAAAGCAGTATTCACCAAGCGGTAACGACTTTGTCTGCCAATGACATCTAGAACATTTGAGGTCAGACTGTTGCAGCACGAGATCATCGCGATTAGCAATAGCTCGGGAGTGACATTCATTCGCTCCAAAGCTTGAGTTCGGGTCAGGATATGCAGGGTAGATTGCCCACCCTCTCCAGCGACATCTTTCGCACTGCTTTGCTTTGACAAGCCAAAGATACCAAGACCAAGAGTCTGGCTGATTACAGATTCTGCCTCTGCAAAGGCAAGCGAGTGTTCGAAAATAGACATGCCAGCTTCTGTGACAACTGCTCGTCCCTGCAAAGCGCAAGAGACGGTCTCGACAAAGTGACTGAGGCAGAGGCGGATGAAAACTGGCCAGAGCAGTCGGAAAGAGCCATATGATATGTCCGATGCATTTACAGGACGGCCCATGTGCACCGCACTGCAAGACTGCTCGTCTGTTTCCCAGGGTAAAAGGGTGGAGCTTAGGGCATGCAAGAAGCCTCCTCCGCCAGAATGATCGAATAGCAAGCGCTTACCCGGCGTGCCATAGCGTATGGTAGAGTATTCCGGGGATGTTTGGCAACGGATAGACCGAAGAAGTGCGTAGATTTGAGTAATGAAAAGGACAATAGGAACGATGCGCAGAGCCAATCGCCTAGTCCAATCCAGATTAAGGTGTCTTCTAGTGGAGGCATATATTGTAATCCTATTCAATATAAGAGCCTTGATAGGTTAGCCTGACCATTTTCACGAAGCGACTAGCCGGGGAAATCAGTATTTACCACGGTAAAGCAAGTTAAAGACCACCGGCTCGTCAGGTACGAGAAGAAACCACTGAATTTCATGACGGCCTGTAGGATGTCGGAGAAATGGAGACCGGAGTCAGCCTGGGCAGCGGCATCAACCACGCCGTCTCTGACAGCTTCAGCGGCTGTCTGCGTTGCCAGTACTGCTTCAGGCTCCAGTCCCGTCCCAGAAGCTGCCCCCCAAAATCGCGTCGCCATATCCTGCAGTCCAACTAGCTTGGCGAGTTGCTTAGGCACGGTAGAGAATGTAAAGGCCTCTGCCTGGGAGAGTCCGCGGAATGGAAGCGACAGGAGTTCGCGCGATGACGAGGACAATGAGGAATGAGCGGCGATCGATGCAGTGGTGTTCAGGGACTGCGCAGCAGTTATTGAAGCTGTTGCGGCTGAAGCGGCCGATGGAAGTATGGACATGACTGATGCTCAGGAAGCAGAAGCGATGCCTGAGCGATCTGGTTTCAGCCGGAAAGCGAATCTCTCAATCGTAAGCATCCGTGGGATGGTGGGTACAAGTGTGTCGCGCGGATGCGAGGAGACGGAGAGGGGGCGATCGTAAATGGTAGGGTGATCCGGTATCACTGGGAGATATCGAGCATGCCAAGAGAAGCCGATGGCATATCTGGAATCATTTCCCCCGAGTGAGTTGGACAGCGAGTCCCACATACAACGAGGTGTGTTGGGGATGGAGAGGCAGCAGTAAGATACAAAGTAGTTCGATTTAAAGTCGGTCTATCTTGGACCGTCATCAGCAACCCGCCTTCTCCAGTCCGTTCCCCGACATCCGCCGCTAACCGGATCAGGTAATTGCCACGGAATTTGCACGTGCCATCCCGGCATCATCCCGCGGTTACTTCCTTCTTTCTGCTTGTAATTGTCGTTCTCTGCATGAAATCGATGCATTCAATACAACTATTTGCTGTAGCGGCGCGGATCAATCCTCCAGATTTAGCAATGTCAATAACAGTTGTGGTTTGTGTTCTAGAAGGAAGAAAAGAAGGCTATACCCGCACATCACCGCTGCCAGCATCGATTGCTCAGTCCTTGTTATATTGCTACGCATCATGTGTAGTAGATTCTTAGTACTACTTTCCTTAGTGCCACTCGCTGCCATAGCTACTTTCAGAGAAATGTACCATTGCAGTTCAACATCATGCCAAGCTGATGAATTTTGCCTGTAGTTCTACTTGTGGACTATTCAGTGTCACACTAGTCCACTTCCCGTAAGGAAAACGAATACGAAGTACAGCAGGGACTCACTACCAGGGGTTGCACAAAGCTTATTGCCTGTCCCTCATCACCATAAATATCTCTCCTCCCAGAAGATGTCATGGAGTTTTCTCTTCAAATGCTGCTTCCTTCCAATAGGAAGTTGCTCCAACCTACTGGGTGTGCCGTTGAGATATGGAAAAAGACCCACGGCTGGGTTATAGCAACCCTGGTTCATCATCATATGACCAGGCACCGCCGCCCTATTCACCATACACTGATGGTGGACTTGTGGTCGAATCGGCAGACGTACAGGGTGAGCAGATCATTTCTATGACTATGAGCATAGCAGTTTGAAGAAGGATTAACCATCAACAAAGCCAATGGCCGCGTCAATGTCGATTTAGATTCAACCTTGGCAAGAACATTAGCCTCGATCGTTGAGCTACAGCAG